AAAAACTTGAGATAGTAATAATCAGTACTCGGCAGGGGATATAAATTCAACAAATTTGCTTGTTCAAATTTTGCCTCTGGTGTCAAAATTGGCCCTGAATTTATTTTCATTATGTACACATAGTAAAGTCACTGAAACTAAAACAAATGTTTTCAGAATTGAAAAAAGCTACAGCTTAGACATGAAACGTTGTTTGGTGGACGTGCATCAAGATTGTTTGTTCAAAATTTTGCCTAACCCAAGGGGACAGTGACTTACTTTCTTGTCCTTTGATGTACAGCCATGAAATTTGGACCATGTGCACAGTTTTAGTTGAAAAATTGAACTTTGATATCTGGTGACCTAGATTTTGATGATGTGACCTACTTTCTTGTCCTTTGATGTACAGCTATGAAATTTGAACAGATTAAGTTTGATATCAGCTGACCTAGATTTTGACAGTATCTTACTGTCTTGTGACCTTTGACGTACAGTCATGAAATTTAGGCCATGTGAAATATGACTTTCACCACCAAATTTACTAGACGCAACTGCAATGATAGATTCCTAGTCTGATCTTTTATTTGAATAACAATAGATTTAACCACAAATCTGATAATAAGAATTAGATAGGTCAGGGATCTATGCATTATGGCAATCTTCAATTGTATAGAAACAAAAAAAAATCTGTTCCTGCACTACGATTTAGTGATGTATTAATGCGGAGGCATATCATTTTTCACAAATGCAATTTTGTTTTCCATATTTTCACTGTAAAAGTTTATTTTCTATTACAGTAATACACAATTATATTCCGTTTTTTCAATATTGTCTTGCTGGACTATTTTCAAGAACCAAAATTTAGAGTTGTAATGTCAAAAAATAGAAAAATGTATATATTTGTGATACAGTATGAAAATTATCAAAACTGCAACTCATGGAATACATGTACTTATTTTCATACCACTTGATGAAAATAAATCTGATATTTATAGAAAAAACTTACATATCCTCTATTTGTTTACCAACACTAATGCCTTTCTGTATGTTGTTTTTTACAAGAAAATTTTGACTTTGTTGGGGAGTTTTTTGTCTCACTTTTGAGAACAGGACAACCATCAAATCTGATTATTTTCCAAAGTATTCAGCAGCATTAAAATATTTCAATGTAATAAAAAGAAACACCTTATCTGATATTTGGAGCATTACATTTTCTTACAAAAAAAAAAATATGTATAATGTATTGGTTCTGCATAGAGGGATATGTAAACGAATTGCTTTCATAGAACTGCCAAATCGGCATTATTAAAAAAAAAAGAAAATCAAAAAAATCAGACCTGCTCATTTTATCTGAAATTAAAATAACGTTTTAGCAAGAGCTTAGATATTTGGCATATTGCATTGCTTACAAATCTTGAAATAATATATGAGCAGCGTCACGACAAAACCAACATAGTGCATTTGCGACCAGCATGGATCCAGACCAGCCTGCTCATCCGCACAGTCTGATCAGGATCCATGCTGTTCGCTATCAGTTTCTCTACTTGTTAAAAGGTTTAAAACGGAACAGCATGGATCCTGATCAAACTGCGTGGATGCGCATGCTGGACTGGATCCATGCTGGTCGCAAACGCACTATGTTGGTTTTGTCGTGACACGGCTCATATATCTTGTCACTGCGTTGACTTGTATGTACTTCTGAATTGCACCAACCCGTATATACAACTATAGTATGATAATAATCACAATCGTATCAGCATTTTGTAGTGTAGTAACAAATTAACCCCATATAAAATTCAATAGGAGTTTAACCATTACTGCACTTAGGTGACGATTGTCAAACATATCTGGTAGCATTTCTAGACTATAACTGGGCATATTATTGTAAAAATTGACTTAAGACAACTAGACAGTGTAATGTAGAACTTTATTTAAAACCTCTATTAGTACATCATTATTTTTTGATCACCATGTAACAAAATATTATGTTTTTCATCACAGTAACATTGTTTTAAGCTTAATGTAATTGGATTTTGCCAACAGTATGGCGCCATGCCAGCCTACACGTCCATACAATCAGACTAGGCTTGACACTGTGGTAGCTCAATTTTTTTATTTTGATATGTTACCTGTAATTTAAGGTGAAACACAATCAGAATGATGAAAAATCAACTGATATGTAAGGATAACCACAAAAGTCCCCATTGTATGAAATTGCTGTGTTATGTCGGAGGATAACCACAAAAATCCCGATTGTATGAAATTGCTGTTATGTCGGAGGATAACCACAAAAATCCCCCATTGTATGAAATTGCTGAGTTACCTTGGAGGAGAACCACAAAAATCCCGATTGTATGAAATTGCTGTGTTACCTTGGAGGATAACCACAAAAATCCCCTTTGTATGAAATTGCTGTGTTATGTCCGAGGATAAGCATAAAAATCCCCTTTGTATGAAATTGCTGTGTTATGTCGGAGGATAACCACAAAAATCCCCTTTGTATGAAATTGCTGTGTTATGTTGGAGGATAACCACAAAAATCCCCATTGTATGAAATTGCTGTTACGTCGGAGGATAACTACAAAAATCCCCTTTGTATGAAATTGCTGTTATGTCTGAGGATAACCACGAAAATCCCCTTTGTATGAAATTGCTGTGTTAAGTCAGAGGATAACCACAAAAATCCCCTTTGTATGACATTCCTGTGTTACATTGCAGGATAACCACAAAAATCCCCTTTGTATGAAATCACGGTGTTATGTTAGAGGAGAACCACAAAAATCCCCATTGTATGAAATTGCTGTTATGCAGAGGATAACCACAAAAAATCCCCTTTGTATGAAATTGTGGTGTTATGTTGGAGGAGAACCACAAATATCCCCTTTGTATGAAGTTGCTGTTACATCGGAGGATAACCACAAAAATCCCCTTTGATTGAAATTGCTGTGTTACTTCGACCCTTTAATACAATGTTGTGGATATTCATCTTCTCTTGTGAAGTGTGAATGGGATTGTGATAGCAGTCATTTTCATAAATGGCTTCTTGATCATTCTGTAAATGTCATGATGTGGGTCAACATTACTTCAGCAAAACTGGGATTTTAACCTGTAACTGCTGAAACCAAATATGATTTGGCCTTTGACAATAGTATTGATCCAGGCAAGTCTGCATATCCATGCAGTCTGACCAGGCTCTTTACTGTTGGTAGCTTCATTTCTGTACTTTGATATTGAAATCTTTTTGATGTTCTTTCTCTTTTGTATCATAGGCAAATATAAAAACATATCCCCTGTTGTCACAATATGAAACCCTAGACAAAAGAGTAACCAATGAACAAGTATCTGAAAACGATATTTCTATCGCTATTCCTTTCTCTGCCACCACAATAAGTAAACCCAAGAAAAAAGAGCCAATCAATGGGTATGCTCTAGACAGTTGGTAACTATAACCTGCACTACAGTTAACGCACTGAGCATAATAATCTAAGATTTAAGTCATTAACACATTTCTAACAGAAAGGTCCCCAAACAATGACACAAGAGATAAAATTTAATGTATTGCATTTTCTAAGACAGAAACATGTTACTTTTGTATTTTTTGTACCATTATTTATAATGTTTATCTTTTTAACAATTTATAATATAACAGTAAATTAACAGTTAATCTACATATTGCATAGAAACAATGACGGCAATTGAACAATTTAACTTATGTTACCGTCAACAACCTCTTGTTTAAAGTGGATTGGTCTACAATAAGAATAACAATTTCAAATATTGAAAAAAAAAAAAAAAAAATAGAAATGTCTCATTTCGATATTCTTATGAAATTTCATTTGAAAAAAAAAATCCCAATAAAGTTCTATATGATTTAGTATGAACATTTATATGATGAAAAAATAATATTTTGTTCTAAAACATTTTATTAACTGCTTTATAAATATATGTAATATTGGATCATGTATCTCACACATGCCAACAAAATCTGTACATAATTATTTCATGGTATGCTGTTATGTCTGATATCAAATACTATCAACGTTACTATTTATTATATAACAGTCCTTCAATTATAGACCAATTCACTTTAACCTTTCACCTGTAGGAACCAAAAGTGATAAACCTTTGCCACCCACCAGTTTAGAGCCCAGCCAGCTTTCACATCCATGCATTCTGACTAGGCTCTACACTTTGGTAATATATTTTGATATTGAGATCCCCTAAACTTTGAATGGACTGTTCTAAATTCAAAACAGGGCATTACACAAATTCAGCAGGTTTATTCTAAATTACTGTTTAAAAAACTGTAGGCACTCAAATAGAAACATTTTAGTTGATTCATCTTTAAAGAATAAACAACATCACAATTATAATAGGAGAAACAAATGAGCTGTGTCACGACAAAACCAACATAGTACGTTTGCGACCAACATGGATCCAGACCAGCCTGCGCTTCCTAATCAGGATCCATACCGTTCGCCATCAGTTTCTCTACTTGTAATAGGGTTGGTAAGCGGACAGAATGGATCCTAATCAGACTGTGCAGGATGGATCCATGCTGGTCGCAAAGGCACTATGTTGGTTTTGTCATGGAGCGGCTCAAATACATAATTATCATCATATATACTTTGTACAAAGAATGCTGCTGGAAGTAATCAGTTATTGCACATCTGTTATATATAAACAATATGATGTCCTTTAGTGAGTACACAAATATGCTAAGTGAGACACTTACAAGAGCACAACATACTCAAAATGAGCTTCTTTGATCATCACTTGTCTGTCCACACTTTACCTTAAACAACATTTGTTCCTTAATCACTGTGTTGATATCAAAACTTCAAAGAAATGTTCTTTTCTGTATGTTTTCACAGAAATAATCATTGTATGAACTGTATTAGAATGGTTGAAATGATTTTACTAGATTAAAAAATATGGCCAGATAGCTGTGTAGTCTGTTGTTATACTCGGGGATTTTGCACAAAATACATGTTGGTGAATTTTTGGATCTGGTTACTTTTATGAACAGAGAAATCAAGGTAAAACACCTTGATGTACAGAGAACCACCTTGATGTTCAGAGAAATCATTGTAAAACACCTTGATGTACAGATAACCACCTAGATGTACAGACAACCACCTTGATGTTCAGAGAAATCATTGTAAAACACCTTGATGTAAAGAGAACAACCTAGAGGTACAGATAACCACCTAGATGTACAGAGAACCACCTAGATGTAAAGAGAAATCATTGTAAACACCTTGATGTACAGAAAACCACCTAGATGTACAGAGAACCACCTTGATGTACAGAGAAATCATTGTAAACACCTTGATGTACAGAAAATCACCTTGATGTACAGATAACCACCTAGATGTACAGAAAACCACCTTGATGTACAGATAACCACCTAGATGTACAGAAAACCACCTAGATGTACAGAGAACCACCTTGATGTAAAGAGAAATCATTGTAAACACCTTGATGTACAGAAAACCACCTAGATGTACAGACAACCACCTTGATGTAAAGAGAAATCATTGTAAACACCTTGATGTACAGAAAACCACCTAGATGTACAGAGAAACACCTAGATGTTCAGAGAAATCATTGTAAAACACCTTGATGTACAGAAAACCACCTAGATGTACAGAGAACCACCTTGATGTACAGAAAAATCATTGTAAACACCTTGATGTACAGAAAATCACCTTGATGTACAGATAACCACCTAGAAGTACAGAAAACCACCTAGATGTACAGAGAACCACCTTGATGTACAGAAAAATCATTGTAAATCACCTTGATGTACAGAAAATCACCTTGATGTACAAAGAAATCATTGTAAATCATTTATTTCGGCTTCTATTGTATGCTTTTGTAGAGTGTTACTAAGCATTTTTAAATAATACCAGCCAAGGGTCATTAAAAAACATTTCAACAATTCCACACCACGGTCAAGACTATATAGGTAATTTTAGCTCTGTTACCCTTTTTGTTCAATAGTGATAAACAATTTCAGTACATCTTTTACTAATGTATTGCTGCTATTCAGATTCATGAAATTCACCAAGCAGACCGGAATTATTATTTTATTTAATTCATACAATGATCATTTCTGGAAAGTTTCATTTAAACTAGCCAATCAGTTTATGAATGGATGTTTGGACATATCATGGGCATGTTTTTTAAGCTGAGAAAAAAAGTCGACAATTTTGTGATGCCTAATAGCACCAGCATGTATAGACAATGCCATCGCTTTTTCATGAAATATACAATGTTACCACTTCACTGTGGCATAAATAGACAAGATCACAACTTAAATGTAACATATTACGACAAATGTCATTACTCTTAAAGCGACTGATTGATTAATAATCACTGAACAAAGAAAAAAACTAAATGAGACATATCCTGGGCGTCTGGTCCCCAACCAGTAATGTGATACTTATAAACAATGCAATCATCTCAAATGTGACATGTAAAATCAATGTCGCTAGCTTATAATGACATAATTATAAAGATAATGCCTCTGTCTAGATGTGACAAACAAAAGCACTTCTTGCTTTAATGTGTCGTATACATGTGAAGACAGTTGCCACTATTCAATGTGCTTTTTAGAAACAGTCACCATTTAATGTTGACACAGTGCAATTATATTAACCTGACACTCTGAGATAGTGCCATTACTTTTAAAATGTGACATTTTTAAACTGTCCATGTGATTACGTAAGCATCATATTTTTGAACACAATGTCACCACTTCCCCTTCAAGATACAGTGTATCTCTGCAGTGACCCTCTGTACAGCAATCACCTTGTATAAAACAACCACATAATTTTTCCTGGAGGTAAGACTTGACTATAACTTTAACCTCTCTAAATCAACACCTCTATTCAGCAACCAAAATCTTTGTCTCCGAAAGAGTGTTGCTCTACAAAGGTTTGACAGTATAAATCACACCTGGAAACAACACAACTACTATCTCCTTCTCTTTGCTTTTGTTTGTTTTTTCTTTGCAGCCTGAGACAGCTTGGACAATTTACTACCGATATGTCCGGGAACTCGTTTCTTTATAAAACTATGTTGTTGCACAAGTTCCGCAAGGTGACCTTGTTCTGCTAACATTGAAAGGAACGTACACAGGAACTGATCGTAGTTGTGCGTGCGGCGGCAGTTGTCAATCTGTAATAGAAAGTGCCATGTCGAATAAAAACTCACTTAAGTACTTTTCAAAAACAATAAAATCCACATACTGTAAAGTAAGAAATTTTCATGATGTATAAAATTTTGCTTACTTTGTAAATTGAATTTCTCAATGAAAATAAACGATTGCTAAGTATCTTAATATCATAATTTAAACAGAATTGAAACATTGTAGTAATTCACTGATATTTAAACTCACTAATTATATTGATTTTGCAAATTTTGAACTAATTTTACTGTATACCAACTATTGGTGTCGGAGCAATATACTTCCCTATGTTCATTAGTTTAGTATAGACAACAGTATAATGTATCATCCTATTGTTTTGTTCCGGTATATTTGTAATTATATCCCCCATCCTGAATAAACATAGTTTTGGAAGTGTGGAAGAGGCTATTTAAAATCACTTTGTCCCAACCAAATTGTTTTTCAATAACTGTGAAACAAGTGCAGGTGTGAATTTGAAACTTTACATATAACCTGTATATGAACGATTAAAAAAATGCTCTCAGTAAACCAAGTGTCACAGCAATTGTGTTTTGATACAGTTATACTCATTTTTAACTTCACTGCTTTTGAATCCGGCACAAGCAAAGTTTATTGTTATTTTTTTTTTATCAGAGATATTTGAGGGTATGAATCAAGTAGGTCTAGTTTCTGATGCCTCTGCCTAAACAATTAGCAAATCTAAGTATAACAAATTCAACATCACTAAATATCTTCTACAAATAGAGTCAAGTGCCCTTATTGGATAGCAAGGAAGTGGCGGCAATAAATGTCAACTTATTACAAAAAATGATCAAAATTTCTGACCCTGATACTAAATGAGATATATACCTTGTACTTTTTTATCTTTTCTTCTTCATCTTGTAGTTTGGTCTCGCATAATTTGATCTCATTTTCAACATTTTTCAACAGGGCTATCAAATCCTGAAAATTGAATAAGATTTTCACTCAAAAGAACATCTAAAATTATTTGTTTCCTATAGGTTTTACATAGCACCAACACTTAAAAGATCATATTGGGACTTTCCAGCTTTACAAGTGGAGGAAGGTGCTAGTCTTTTTTCAGCCACAAACAGGCACCTAGAAGAACCACAGACATTCTGTAAGCTTGCTGGATAGCTTCCTCACATGAAAGAATCAAATGTCCTGAGCAAAATTCAAACCCAGTGGTGTGGGGAAAGTGGTTTGAAGTCAACAACCTTTACCACTCAGCCACTGACATACCCAGTAGTATCAAAATATCTTTATTATTATCTTTCTTTCTTCTGTATCAAAATAAAACAAAAGGCTACCAACAGTATAGAGCCTGGTCAGACTTCACAAATGTGTTGACTGGCTTGATTCTATACAGGTGGAAAAGACATAAAATTTTTGAATCTAGTAAGTTATGGGTTTAAGTCTATGTACATTTTTATAGTTTAACTTTTTTTTTTCATTTCTGAAGGTACGCTATTTTTTTTATACCTTAGGCCTGAAACCTTGTTGACTGTTAAACTTTGTTTTTGACTTTACAGGTGATGAACTCTCTGCTTCTTTTCCTCCATCTGTAAACAAAACACAATGCTAGATTTAATGATATTAGCATGCTCCTTTACTACCTATAAAAAGAGTAGAGTAAGGGCTTCCAATAAGTTTCAAAATTTGGAAGTCAGAGACTGCAAAACCTCTGATAATGGAACCAGGAAGTCACATGATATAGGTAAAGAAGGAAAAGTGTTCTAGTCGTGAAGTCACAAGGAGTAAATGACTCCCAAACTTCCATAAATGGAGGTCCTGCAGTAACAAATTAATAATAAAATCTTTCATGATATTTCAAGTATTTAAAAATGTGGTCATTTTAAAAATGATACAAGTAACATGTTAAATACAAGAAAAAAATATCTCTAATATTTATCTGAGAAAAAAGCTATCAACTTAACACTGAGCTTTAAAATTGTTACTGTTAAAAAATCTTAAATGTCCTTCCTTCATTTTTGGGATCTTTTCATGATCAATTTTGGGGATATCAAAATGAAAATTTGAAGTAACTTGTGTAAAAGTATGGATCATGGTCACTTATTGTTCTAGCAGGTCATGGCTTAATTATAAGAAAAGCATCGTAGAGAAAAAGTGTAAATATGTTGAAAAATTCCCTGGAAATAAAGATGGGCGATCACATCTTTACGTTATATTTTTTAAGCATTTTGGACGCATCTTTGTTGTAAATTCAGCCACAATGACATTGTCAAGGTCGTAAGAAGACTTATTTTAATTTATCTAATGTGACATTGGAGTTAAAAGTGTTATAATTTACATACCAGTTATTCTTTCCCCACCAGCTACATTAGGACTGTTTTGTGCAGACGTACTCATAGTGCTACTACTAGGTGAACTAAAGCAGCTCCCCACCTCTGAAGCTGTATCAGTACTTTCACTGCTGGGACCGGGCGAGGCAGAAAATTTTGTTTCTATAGTAAGAGGTTTTGTGACGTCTGTAGTCGCTGCTGTTGTCGGAACTATAGTCGACACACCGTCGGCATCTGATGCTACTGAGATCTGAACTTCCATTCCTTCGTTCACCGACGTTTGTACATCCCCACGTGCACAATTTGTCACGTTTTTATTTCCTACATCACTTTTTAAAGTCAATTCTGTTTTTATTTCCGACTCAAGTTTAACTCGACTAATATCATTGATTAAACCAGTTTTGATCACTTCCTCCGTTGTTGTTGTTGTTGTAGTTCTAAGGTCGTCATCTGTGAGGTCAATGACCTCTGATTTCACTGCTGTTGTCATCTCCCTGCTGCCACTCTCTAAATCCCTTTTTGTCAGGTCAGGTTCATCTATCTCCATAGGAACAGCTATGTTAACATTGACAGGCCCATGTTTTTTAACAACAGCCAGACATTTCTCCTTCTCAGCTGTGGTAATGTTGGGATTGGTGACTTTAACCATCTTGAAAAAGGAAAAATAGGGAAATAATAAAATGCATGTGCAGGGAAATGAAACTTAATAATCAAATTTCTTTAAACTATTTACAGCTAAAATCTAAAACTTTAGAAATAGGATTTCTTTATAAGAAAAGGTGTGGTGTTTTTTGTTTGTTTTTTTGTTGTTGTTTTTTTAATATCCAGAAAGACTTGACCATGTAAATCAGAAACAACAGAACTAAACAATCTTTTTTATATTAGAATTAATGAATTTATCATTCAAAAACCTGCAAAACATTCAATTTTGCCTTTAAAGTGAAAAGCTCTAAATTTATACATAATTCAACATAATTTTAAGCCTGTTTATCTTGACACTTAGCCAAAGTGGCTTTTAATTAGAATTGAACATAAAAACATTAGTATAATTATAATTTCCTAAGAACTTGTGAATGTTTTTTTCTTATTTCTGATTCTGTCAGAGTTTACATGAATTAACATTATTTACATGAATTTGAAACAAGTACATTTTTACATTAAAATGAGATCTCAAATTTATTGTGCTGAAACAAAAATTGATAAAGAATGATGATTTACAAATAAAATAGTTTGACCAACTGAAGCAAAAATTGCTCTTTAAATTTTAAAATGGTAGGTAATCTCCCATTTATCAATAATTCAATAAATATTGGTTTTTGTTTTATTTTCCTGAATAATAATATATAAGTCACATAGTTGTTATGGTCAAAATATTGTGACTTTCCGAATGAACTTTCATTGAAAACCATGGTGACTCTCTGAGCATTATCTTGGGCAAAAACAGATTGAGTAAATTATGGCCCCAAAGTAAAACCACTGACTTTTTATATGCTAGCAGGATAGTTTCTTCATAAGTAAAAATTTCAGATATGTGCGGAGGCCTATTGGTTATGGTATGGTTGAGGTCTATTTGAGTCATGACCATAATTTCTCATATGACACCAGTGCTGGTTAGTTCTAGGGAGTGGACATGATATAAGTTGCAAGAACTTTACTTATTTTATAAATAAGCTTAAAAAAAATTCAGTAGAACTTCGGTAATTTGAAGGGTTTTATATAAAAACTTCATAACATCTGAACTTTTGACTTATGTACTTGGCTGAATTTCTCTACAAAATTTCGACCCAATGATGTTTACAAATTTTTTTAAAAGCTTATGTATCATCAACACACAAAACATCTGTGTAAAATATTCTGGACATTTTGTTTTTTTTTATGGTTTTACAGTGAACCAACAGTTTAGGTGGTATGGAATCTAAAAAGGAAAGATGATTCTGAATGTTTATATGCAGTAAAGGCAACTGTATGTTTAAACAAGCTTTTTGAAGCATTATAAACTATAATATATCCTCCTTTCTTTGAAAGAAAAAAAAATGACATATTAGTGTCAACATGTTAACAGGAAGCTACATACATGTATTTAATAGGATTACACAATATCGTAAAATGATCCGTATCCACATGTATTCATTTTTCAGTCTATTCTCATTTCATACCACAATTTTTGAAATTTTTTTACATAAAAAAAGTAAACAAACAAAATCTTAGCATTACAAATTATAATTTTTCTAATTAACCAAAAACAACCTATATTACATGGGTTTTTGTGAACATATTCCTGTCCAGTGGCATAAATAAACCTCCCAATTAACAAAAAGAAGAGATATAAAAGAATAAATCCTTCACCCAAAAAAGGTCAACACCATTTATAATGAGCATAAAATCGGCTATTTTTCCCTCTTTTGCCCATGTTATAACGGGGCCAAAACCATGCGTTAACATAGTCACGCGCTCTTGTTATAGCCCGGTTTTACCTATGCGCAATACATACAGGGCCCAGTAAACAAACAAACAAAAAATGACGATTTGGCCTGTTTGCCGAAGAGTCATGCGTTCTTGTTATATTGAAATTTATTGATTCGAGGGCCTCAGTCGCATATTCCAGTAACTATGCCGGAAAAAACGGCGTATAGACATCGGTGCTAATCTTGGTTGTCGCCCTTTCTAAGAAACGGACAGTTGTCAATGTAAACATATCAGATATACAGTAGAATCTACCTGTCATTCAGTTTAACACTCCGATTAACTTACAAAACTAGATAACATAAAATTAATATGAGAAAATGTTTTCTTTATTTATGTTAATGTCGATAAATGCTCTTTATAAATTTATTTGAGAGAATAATGCTTAGTGCCTGATTTTTTTATAAACTTGTTTGCTTGAAAAAAAAACCGATTCTGATGTCACTGATCTTTTTTCTATCACTCTAAACATTTCTGAGGGTCATGTTTTGTCTTGGGTAGAGGGTAGAGTAATGTAACGTTTTTTTTCTTGAGATAATAAATCTCCAAAGGCCAAGCTTTGTTAAATTAAAATTCAAAATTTCGTTCGGTTCCGAGAATTTGCCAAGTTGTTGGCCCCGGAAAAATGAAACGCATACGTAAAACATAGAATTGGATAAATACCGTCCAAGCACAAGAATTTAATGTAATTGTGTTTTGTATAAACTATACATCACGAATCTGTTTTAAAATTTTATGCTATAATAGCGTCAACGCACGTTTATTTCGTGTTATAAAGTCTGCAGAGTCCCTCGGAACTGTTGGAGCCCTCGCCCTACCGGGCTCGGGCACCAACCGTTCCTCGGGACTCTGCAGACGTTATAACACGGAAAAACGTGCGTTAACCCTATATAATGACCAAAAATAAAAAGGAAAACAAATTAATTGTGTTCATAAACGTAACAATTTTAAATTGCTATCAATATCATTAAAAAAAAAAAATTTTCAGTCATGTTTTACTGTGAAGTACACATGACCAATGAATTTAACCTGCTGAAAGCGTGAAATGGTTTTGCCCAGCTTTGAAATTGAAACAGTACATTTAAAGTTTTGTGGTTGTCATGATTACAATACAAAAACTGAGCTACCAACAGTATCGAACCTGGTCAGTCTGCGTGACAGTGCAGCCCGACCAGGCCCTAAACTGTTGGTAAAGGCTAATCACTTTCAGTTCCAGCAAGTTAAGGTTTTAAAAAGAATAAGCATTGTAACTGAAGTCCTTTAACTTAGAATTTAAAATGTGTAAAGTTACTGTTTATCAATATTATAATTCATTGTGCATTTACATCTTTTTTGTTGTTTTTTTGTTGTTGTTGTTGTTGGGTTTTAAGTCACACCAACATAGTATAAGTCATATGGCAACTTTCCAGTTTTACTTGTAAAGGGAGACCTAGGATGCCCTTCCATGCATTATTTCATGCACAAACAGGCACCTGAGTAGAACCACCGACATTCCATAAGCTAAATAAAGGAGTCAACCTAATACTATAAAATTTTGTAAAATAAATGTAAATTCTAACAGATATATATGCATACTGCCTTACTATTATTCTGCATGATAAAATATATTACATACTTATTTGCAAAAGAACAAGTTCATGTAATGTTAAAACATTTACGATCTCTTTTAAAGGTATGAAATGGCAAGTTTGAATTCCAAAAGAAATATTTTCAAAGCATGAGAGAAAAAAACAACATATTTACACTCTTATCATATTTCATTTTAGTGTCTGTGGGTTTTATTATTAATAACTAGGGCAGTGAAAGAAAAACAAACAGCATTATCTGTATGGTACATATATGTGTGATGGTGATATTAAAAAAATAATCTAAACTTAAGTAGCTGATGTTATGAACACTGTGGCAAAAAAGAATAAAGAAAACAATGGATTTACTTCTATAGGTGTTCACAAACTTATAAACAAAACAACAAAAAATATATAATATTTATTTATACCTTGGGCGGGCTTCCTAAAAGCTTCATGTGAAAAAGAAAAATATCATGAACTTTCTTTATTTTGAACTTGTGATTACACATTATACCCTCATATCATGGAATTTCATTTATGATAAAGTTAAACATTAGTTTTTATGTTTTTGTTTCTTGGGTTTTAATAATTATAGTAAGGTAATTTGGCAACTTTCAAGCTTTATTAATCGCTGCAGACTTCAGGTTCCCAATAGAGCATTATTTCAGGTACATGAGGTGTATGTGTGGATATCTGAGTAGAACCACTGACTTTCAGTAAGTCAGCTGCGTAGCTTCTTCACATATAAGAATCCAAAGTTCTCAATTGGAGCAGTGAGGGGAAGTGATTTGGCTTATACAGAATTTATTTTAGTTTGATTGTGAAGACAGCTATAAGCTTATAGACACACTTTCGTATCCTGGAACCAACCTGTACTGAGCTATGAGTGTAAAGTTTCTTGCTCAAGGAAACAACAACTTGCCCCCTTTTGGGCTTTGAATCCATGCAACCAGCCATCATTAGATTACTAGTTCAACATGTTAACCACTCGGCTATGCCACAACTTGCCGCAAATGACTTGAAGTCAATGGTCTTAACCTCTCAGCCATGGAGGCCCTTTATTACTTTCATAACACACAGTTTAGTGTATCATTTAACACTTAACATCGTTTTAGCTCCTTTGTGGAAGGAAATCAAATATGGCCGTACTACAGGCAAGTGTCATCATTAGTTTTCATAAAAAGTTACTTAGAGTTAGAAATGGTACAGATGTTGTATTATTCTAAACACAATTTTCCTGCTCATTAGCATTGTCCTTCTTCAAGCACAAGTAATTAGTTTAAATTTATAAAGTGTTATGGTTAGTTTTTACAAAGTTGACTTCTAGAATCAATGTATGTGAACATTTTAAGTACAAATATAACGTGTCTGGTTATTTTTTTTAAACTAACTTGGCTTCTAGAATCAATGCATTTGAACAATATTTTGGATTATCAACATCTACAAATAGAAGAAACATAGACACAAAGAAAACTTATTGAAGTCAAAATTTAATCAACTTTAGTTACATAAAGACTACACATACTGTCATAAAAATTACATAAAATATTATACTAGCATATATACATGTACATGTGCAAGAACCTACCTGTTGAAGGGCTTCCAGGACAATCTGTCTGTTGGTCTTTAATGTGCTCAACTTGTGTTCATACAGGCTCACTTTGTCTGGTACCACAGCCATTAAATTAAATCTTATATCATGATATGGCTCTCTGTAATAGATACAATATATAAACATATTCCAGAGCAGTAATAAATTCCACAGCCGAAATAAACCCCCACAATAGAAATAAAATATATTTTAGAGCAGATAAAATATTCCAGGCAGAAAAAATTCTAGAACAGAAATATATTCCTGGGAAAAAATATATTCAAGTGTAGTAACATACATTTATTCCAGGACAGAAAATAAATTCAAGAGTGGTGACATAATCCAGGGCAGAAGAATATTCAAGAGACGCAACTTAGCCCAGGGTAGAAATATATTCAAGAATAGTAACATAGTCCAGGGAAGAAAAATATTTTAAAGCAGTGACTTATTCAAGGGCAGAAACATATTCAAGAGCTATTATATATTCCTGGCCAGCTGGCAGAAATATTTTCCAGAGCAGTAACATATCCCAGGGAAGAAATATATTCCAGCTGGCTAGAGTAGTAATATTATACTAATATATTCCAGGAAAAATATATTCTAAAACAGTAATATATTCCAAGCAAAAATATGTTCTAGAAAAGTAATATATTCTAGGGCAATATTAAATATATTCAAGAGAAATAATATTTTCCAAAGCAAAAAATGTGTTGAAAGTGGCATAAAAACAGACAAATAAACACATAAGCTTTTGTGATAAAGTGAAACGCGCTTTAACCCACACAATGCGACAAATGCAAAAGGAATAGAAAATCAAACAAGTTAGGAGTTTATAGATAAATTTACCAGTGTACAGCAATACAGAATAAAATATTGTGTGAGCTTTAAAATTTATCTTAACTACACACCCTCCTGTTGCCATTCCAAGTCTTTCAGAGATGACACGGCGAAATTTTTCAGTCCAGTCTTCATTACTCTCCCACGGACCTAAAATTGTAACAAATATGGAATGTGTAGACAGTCAATCCTGTGTATATATACCAGTTTAAGATATGGAAGAAGTGGTCTTTCACAACCAGAAGTCCCTAAAAAAAGGAGGCACTGCATTTCATAAGATGAGAAACTAAATTAACAACCTTTAAGAAAGATTTTATATGTGGGTTTAATTTCTGGTGAATTTCAATGAAATTTAATTCAATTTAAATGATAATAAAGCTTAAGTTAAATAATTTTGTTATTGTTTGTTAAAAATGTAATGCTTCATATTGCAAATGCTATCATATTAAACATACTCCCATTTTAAATAAGCAATGTATTTAACCCTTAAGCAGCTGGATTTCTAACATGGGATTGTCCAGCTTCTTATTTTTGGAATTGCCCATTAACAATTGTGTGGATATCAAGATGAAAATTTGTTAGTCAGCCTACAGGGTAAATCATGGCCAGACTTCAGGTTATGGATTAATGGGAACAAGCAAATTCGTTGAATTTATATCCCCCGCAGAGTACTGGTTATTATTAACACAACAACTGAAGACATAAGGCTTTATTTATATATTAATCATGGCATAAACAGTAAAATTCTTTGAACTTGATAAATATTCAGGGCAATAACAGAGCCATAACTTTGTGTTAAATAGTAAAATCTGGAAATGCCAATGAGATGTATGCATACTACATAACTAATCAAGGGCCATAAATCTGAGTTATAAGTATCTGACTGGAACAAGGCGACTATATGCATATCTCCTCTTAGTATCCCATAAAGTTTCATTGAATTCCAGCCAGTAGTAGCAGAGAAGTAGCGAGGAAACAAATATTTTTCTTTATGGATACTGCATAACTAATCAAGGGCCATAACTGTGAGTTAAAGTGTCTGACCGGAACAAGTCGACGATATGCGCATCTCCTCTTGGTATTGAAGGTTCCCATAAAGTTTCGTTGAATTCCAGCCAGTAGTTGCAGAGAAGTAGTGCGGAAACGATTTTTACTCTATGTGCATACTACATAACTAATCAAGGGCCATAACTCTGAGTTAAAGGGTCTGACCCGAACAAGCCGACGATATGCGCATCTCCTCTTGATATTGATGATTCCCATAAAGTTTCGTTGAATTCCAGCCAGTAGTTGCAGAGAACTACTCCGGAAACGAAATTCGGACGGACGGATGGATGGACGGACAACGCCAAAACTATATCCCCCTCCCGATTCCATCGGCGGGGGATAATAAAATACAAACATCATAAAGCTGATATGCCATTTCTTTGTAAATTTTGTATACCGCATATATTATATAAACCAATAACCATTTGTGACATGGTGAGAAAAGGGTTCCTGCATAATTATGGAATAATGTCAATCAAGCAAGTTTCCACTTCTATTCACTGACTGTTGGTAAAAATTTTGAACATTTATCTTTTTCTAGCCCCAGTGTGATTAAAGTTTGTAGCTAACTTGAACCACTCTCAAATCTGCTTCCTGCAACTAACCAGTACCAGTGTCATGTGTTGAAACACAGTGGTGACCACAGTAGGCCTCAAACTCAAGATCCTTGGGTTGAGCAGCAAACACCTTAACCACCAGGACACTGCTCCCCTTGAAGTTCTAAGCTTTATAATATTGCACGAAAAGTATAAGAAAAAATAGCGTACCATGATCTATGGGATATGGTTTGAGACCATCTAGTTCAAACAAGTGTCCATGAATCGGTACATAACTAACAAAATGAAAAGCTTCCATAGTCCTGATGGTCATACCTTGCTGCTTCTCTGGCAAATGAGAATTCTCACGTCTGAAAAAAAATTATCATATGAAAATAATAGTTATATATAAAGTACTTTATAACATTGTACAGTAGTGGAAAAACATATTTTTCTGTACCAAACAAGCCTTGAAGATTTGCAGTGTTGTTTTGGTGTATTGGACTTACTTAATTAATAGGTATACAACTAGAGGGAAAATGCATATGAAGAAATTTATTTCCACAATATTTCATTATTCAGGTTCATACTGATAAGTTGCCATGATAGTAGGACATAATATGTACAATACAGTACTTTAAATGTTGGATATATTAACATGGTTGGGGGTCACAGAATATTTTGTATTCCTTCTTCAGACTTGGGTACAAAAACTATATAATTAAAATTGACATTAATAACACAATATTTGCCACTAGTATACAGCCAGGCCAGTCTGCACATCCCTTCAGTCGGGTATGTGCAGTCTGAATAGGGGCTAAACTGCTGAACTGTTTGTAGCTCAATTTTTCTATTTTGATATTGAAATGAATGGCTTATTGCAAATTCAATGCAGGGTGAATCAGCTAGATATTTTTTATATTATCACAGGACTAATAAGTTACCTTGCATGACTGTTATGAGCCCGTGCTAACTCTGGTATGTTACCTATTGCATAACCTTTATTCTGAAATATAAATCATTTCATTTAATATGATACCACTCTGGAAACATTTAATAAATAACTAAATGTATTCACTGCACAACCACCAACATTTTAAGGGTTTAAACCCCTCTTTATCAAGGAGTTTGCTGTTTATTTTCTAAATCATCAGATTTTCTGTATTAATTTGTAGGATAACACAGTGTAAGAAAAAAAATTAATATTATGTGATTTAGAAAATAAACTGCAAATTCCTTGATAAAGAGGGGTTTAACCCTTGAAACCTTGGATGTTGATAAAGATAATATTTTATATGATGTAATTAAACATTCAAACAAGAACGGTTGGATATACAGCAAAATCTTTAAACAATCTCAGGTTTAAACCTTAGCTTTCTGGCAGCAACTGATTCTACATGACTACCCAAGCAACCAATGCCATGGTTTGCACTGTCCACTATTTAGTCATACATATTTTGTAATTTCCCTTAAATTGATGGTATTGGCCAGATTAAAACCTGAAAAATCTGAACAAGTCAAGTCTATTTAGCATGGAAATGGTAAAATTACTATACACATCATAACCTTTGCGTAATTTTTTCTAGACATAATTCTATCAAAATCCATGCTATAATTATTAGTTTCGGACAACTATATACAGTTATGACCTAAAGAACTTTCAAGAATCAATGTACAAAGTAAATAAGAAATGATAAAGCACCATGCAAAATCATAACTAAGAGCTATATCAATAATGTTAAGAGTGAGATGGAAAGTTCTACTATTCTTTGAATAGGCAAGTTAAATATATATTTTTTTACAATAAAAGTTTGATATGATTTTCATAATCGTTTTGACTATAATAAGATACAAAGCATACAGTAGTTTGAAGTGGCTGTATAAGATTAATACCTCTGGGTTCATATGTTTGCTGTATGATTTAAGTTCTGACAGCGTTTGTCCGAGATTCACTTTTTCACAGTTCAATAAGACACTAAGTAATGCATGCGTAGCACAAGAATTTGGAATCATCTGAAAGTAAATCAGAACAAAATTTATCTTACTGATACAGTATATTGACAAAATATTAAACTATATTTATGGTTAAATCAATTGCCACACTTCACATATAAAAAGACTTTGATACCTTTGAAAAGGCTCAAGATCAAGTTAGAAATTCAAATCTTAATCTCAACGTGTAAATGACACAACTCCCTACTAACCTTAAATCTTAGATTTATTTTTGCTGGATTTTAAGTCACACAGACACAGTTAACGTCATAATTTTCAACTTTACTGGTGTAACCATGAAGGAAGAGCTCATGTACTCCTCAGTTGCATTATTTCTGGCATGGGTGGGACTTACATCATGAAAGATTTACCAGCCTGCGCATCCACGCAGTCTGATCAGGATCCATGCTGTTCGCTATCGATTTCTCTACTTGTTATAGAGTTTGTAAGCGAACAGCATGGATCCTGATCAGACTGCACGGATGTGCAGGCTGGTCTGGATCCATGCTGGTCGCAAACCCATTATGTTGGTTTTGTCATGATGCGGCTCATATATATGAGACTTGCACTGCCTAGAAGAAGCATCTCAGTAAGTGTCATAAAATTTCAGTCAAAATTGAGTAAGAATTCATTTTGATAATGCTGAACATTGCAGCCCTCAAGATCCAATTGAGGTGACATTTTATGATCAATTTGAAGCATTTCTTGTTTAAAAAAAATTCTCATGACAAACTACATGTATAAATAACTCAGTAAGTTAGACTTTCTCTTGAAAGCCAAATAGTATCTTTGATTTTATGGGAAATCATCTTAATCTGTTAAATCTGTTTTAAATTTAGTCTTTTCTAAATTAACATTTTAACAGTGTGACTATTATTAACCTGTTGAGCAAAGAAAATACTGTTCACAATGTTGTCATCTGTGACAAAACTTTCATCCTCTGTTATTGTTTTCCTCCTGGATCGTCTCTCTTCAATCCAACGAAAAAGAAAAATGAACCCATATGTTGTCCTAAAAATTAAATAAACATTGACTTTTACAGTGTATGCATAATGTATCAAAAAGTATAGTAAAATAGAGAGGGGGGAGGCGGGGGTATAAAGTATTGAATGAAATTCTTCATCAAATTAGACATGACACTTACATTAATTTGTCAAAATCCATGACAGAGTTAAGTCCTCTAGCCTAAAGATTAACAAGTATTCAATGTTTCAGAGCAATATCTCAGAGAGTATGATAAAAAATACGGGGGTGGTAAAAATATTATATTAGAGCTAAAACTTCCATACCCTTCAAAAGCTTTTTGAAGATCATATATTTCCTCAACTTGTACTCCCTTGACCCCTGAAATTATAAATGAAAATCATATAAATAAACCTTTGCCACCAGTATAGAGCCATGCCAGCTAGCACATTTGTGCAGTCTGACCAGGCTCTATACTATTGGTAGCTGATATTTTGTAGTTTGATAATGAAATCTCTTAAACTTTTAATGGACTGTTCCAAATTCAAAGAAGGGCAAATTCATTACACAATTTTAGCAGGTTCCAGGTTATAATTATTAGAAACATTATCCATATGCCATGGAAGTGCATGTAGGCACCTGAATAAAACAACTGACCTTTTCTGCTAGCTGTCTCCTTATACAAATACATATTTATTTTTTAAATATTAAAACATCAATATGGAAGCCAGTGAACTTTTTATAATACTGACCAAGAGAATATTCTTTGCCTAATTTCGTACAAATTTAAGCCTAATTTAACCACTCTATCTCTAGGAGCACCTTTAAGTAAAAGAAATTATAGCCCTGTGTCTAAAATATATTTACTTTTCACTTCACAATACTAATAAGGGTGTCAGATATATCTAAAATTGTGTACTCCAAAAAAAGCAGGGTAGTAACAAAACTTTGAAAATTACTGTATATCAATAATATAAAATTCATCTAATTTTCACTGTATTCATGTGCACTAAATATTAGAATAAGAATTAATTATGTTCAGCATTACAATTTTTATTACAAATTACTAACATAAATGGTTTTCCTCAAGAGGTGTCAAAATACTTATTGAATAATATACAAAACTTACCAAAGTCTTGTAAAAGCAAAGTGAACAATCCTGAAAATATAAATAGTATTGAATACAAACCATGACAACATAAAGGTTGTTAATAAGTAAGATTGTAAAAATGAAATTCTAAGAGAGGCAAGAGGGAGCAAAGATTGGCACATTAAAACAATATGAGGGAGCAGTTTTTAAACAGAAATTTTAGTTAAATGTGTTTTAATTATCAAGAAAGTACATGTTCCAAATGAAAATCATCTGATGCTTTAATTTTCTCTTTGATGTAGGATTTTATTTATTTGTTTAATTGTCTTTATAATTCAATTTACATTTCTCCAATTTTTTGGGTACATTATATAAATTGGTCCCACCTGGTGGTCAGATATCTCAATTGATTGGAAGTGTTTTTTTTTTATATCTTATTTTCTTTTTTTGCAATGTCACAGACTCACTGGATTTGTATAGTCTCCTTTCTGTCTATGACCTTAGCAGTTTACAGATTGGTTAATGGTTTTTTTTGGTTTTTTTTAAACAAAATTTATATTAAATTAAAAGGTTATTAGGGGGAACAACACATCAAAAACACCAGGTCAGTTATTATATTTATCAAACTACCCATATAAACCTGTTTCAGGTAATATATACATGTACATTATATTCATACAACCTGCTGGTGTTTTAGCAAAAAATTTGTTCAAAAATATTTCTTCTCATGGGATTACACACTTAAATTCTTGCAACCAATCAGATAACAGTTATCTGTGTGGTAAATTGAAATGAAAGTGATGTGATAGGAATTTGGCAATCTCCTGGATTAGACCCCTATGTATATTTAAGTGATATAATAACCAAGTGATTTTAACTAAAGGATTTTAAACATTATTATCAGGTGTGACAGTTAAATTTTCTTATTCAAAGGTTATTCATTATTACTTTCCAAATTAGTCAGCAAATTACATCATCATCTGAGTCATTTTCACCAATACGCCCATAAACACTTTTGATATGAACTATATGTACATGAATAACCCAGGTATATCAAGTGAAAAAATAGTTGTTTCCCTTATCCTCGAGTAAAGTCAATATCTCCTATGCTAAAACAATACAAAATCAGCCATTTTTAAACTGTTAAATTTTAATGTCCAATTATATAATTTATTACTTCAATGGAAAGCTTTGGGTCTTATTATGTAGCTTCGTCACAGGGTCAGCATATACTTCAACACGTCATCTTTTGACACCAAAGTATTTAAATTAACTGTTAAACCTGCCATATGTCAGACCATTCTGCATACGTTTTATACAGTGAGATACGCAACTGATTTTCTTTACTCGCAATTCTACTGATAAGAATAGCCCGTTGTTTGCTAGTTTGGAAACTGTTTATCGGTGTATTGTATTTGTCAAAACAAAGATGGTGTTCAAACTGATGAGAATAAAGGTCAGATTACTGTATTGTAACAGGGTCAGTGATTAGCTGCAAAAGGTGCAGGGAAATCCGTAAGACTCAATGGGACATCAGGTGGTTGGATGAAAATGTAATGTTTATGAAAATTATTTAAGAAACTAAAACTACATGGTTTTCTTAAGAAAATGTAGTTTTAGTTTCTTAAGAAAATGAACTGTTTCCTAAAATAATTTTCACTTAAATAGTTGCACTTTACAAAAAGAATATGTCAGTCCTGTGATCTGTAGAAAATTTCAGTGAAAAGGGGGATAATCATCTTTGGGGACATTTGGCGAAAAAATTTGGTTGGTCATATCATAATAGTGAGCTTGAAGAGCTGGCCCGAAGGGCCTGCTCGCAAAGCGAGCTTTACGGTAACGCGAGTACCTGTTAGATAGTGATGGTTTTGAAAACTTTCGCCATAAGTACTGAACTGACAAATCGCAACTTTTTGAATTATAAGGTAACGATAAAAGCTGAAGAATTCTGATTGAAAACGGATGCTTAGACTGGTGTCCTGCACACTTTCATAGGAACTATAATAGGACAGGGAACCAAAATAAACAGAAGCAGTGTATAAAATAAGGAATGACAGTTTTAAAACAGAAAATGTAAAATAGAAATGAACCATTAATTTAGATTCAGAGTCAACTCGTCCCCTGGTCAACTCGTCCTCTGGTCAACTCGTCACCTTTTTGGTCAACTCGTCCCTTGGACAACTCGTCCCCTGGTCAACTCGTCCCCAATGTTTTATTATTATTTGTTTTTCATATATTTCATAAATTATTATAGACTGTTAAAATAATATATTATAAATTTACTGAATTGGACATATTTTGACGCTTTTTGTATGCGAATATTTGGAGTTTTTTTATGTAATAATAAGTAAATATATGCATAATTCTGATTAAATTACATACAGAAAAAAAACGACCCGAAGACAATCAATAGCAATAACATTTATGTATAATGTATTATATTTATCAGGGCAACTTTTATATTGACAATTTCACAACAAATGATTATCATATTTTTAATTGACACGATCCTTCTATAATGAGATCAATACGCACCGACATAAAGATTTTAGTACTTCTAATTTCTGTTAATCTGTCGTCAGTCTTTAATCCATTCAGGGAGGCGGTAAAAATCAAAGAGTTGGACCTAATTTTAGTTTTAATTATCATTAAAACTCTGATTAATTAAACATTAATTGAATGTTTGCAAACTTACCTGTCTTTGTAGTTTTACATCAAAGCTATGCACGTGCGCTTAGATAAAGATCATTAAAATTTAACGTAAAAAAGACGTTATTTTATTAATATTTCGATATCAATCAAATTCATTATTAATTTTACATAAAAGAACTATTTAAAGACATTGATTTACAACATAATAGTGACGAATAGATTGAAAGTAGGGGACGAGTTGACCATATTAGGGACGAGTTGACTTTTTGAGGACGAGTTGACCAAAACAGGTACGTATATTAACGGTATCCGCAACTCTATACAGTAACTCAATAACGGTAAATTATGCTGTCGTGGCAGATAATCCATCCAGACTGCCGATCGTTATTGATTTTTATCGACGATTACATATCATTAAGCGGTGTGATATTTGACCTTGGTTATTTAAATTACCGTCAACATGTTATTTTCTGTTCAATTTTTTAAAAGTAACATATTCTAGAAAGCTGAAAGATAGATTTTTTCAAATATATATTTTATAAATCAGTGCGTTTAGTATGAAGAAAATTACGACGAGTTAAACACAGAGATTTTTTTTTTGTCTCCCGATTATGTCAAAACTTCAGTAAAAATAATGATGCCCTCTTCGAACAAATATAAGATTTTTTCGTAATTTATGGTCCGAATTTAGCAAAATACCTATCAAAAGAAAGCTGAGAATTTGATCTTTTTAACCGTGTAATTATCATTTACAAAGCTAAATTATTTCCGGAATTGTAACGAGTAAAAAACGCAACTTTTACTACCAGCCAAATTGCGACTGCACACGAAAGAAATTTTATATACATGTAGTAACAAGTTATTATTGTTTCGTCATTTTTTTGCCGAAATTTGTGAAAAATTATTTATAAAAAGCTTATAAACTGTAGTTTTAATTTTTTTATTTTTCAATTTCTATTGCGTATCTTAAATAAATGCGGATAAGATATCGTGAAGAATCACATGACCAAAATCATCTTGCATATTTCGAACGCAACTTTTACCATATATTTAACTTATTAAGCCCTTTATATTTTTTATTTGAACATTGTTTTAAAGAATGAAGTTATCTATCTATCTATTTTTAAAATTGAATAAAAGTATGATTATATAATTTTCAAACTGCACCAGAAAAGAGCTCTTATAAAAATGTTCGTTTTCTCAGGTACATTAACATTAATATACGTACCTGGTTTTCTGAAAAACGGCCTAAACATTTTTTGTTATGAAAGTATTGTGAAAAATAAGTACATTGTACCGTCATAATTGATGTTTGCTGCAGATTCAGTAATTGATTTAATCACGGTTATTAATGTGCATCTATTTAATTGTTCAATTGTGATAGTTTTCACACTTTTTCTATCAGTCGGTCCTGTTTGAAACTGCTTTTTAGTGGGTAAGGCTAGATTATTACTATATCCAGTTAATTGTTTTTATTTAAAACATATTCTCTGTGTTGCTTTTTATACAATTATATTGAGCAAACTGTTTCACCACTACATATGTCAGTATCTTTCAGGTTCTCTTGAATGAACGTACATTTTTTCGAGAGAATAGACATAAAGGTATTGGAAATAGTAGTATCAGGTACCTGGTAGTAAAAAAAAAAGAAATAAAAATGAAAACACATAAGTTTTGCCTTTTATTTTATAACTGGATTTACATAAAACTTCAATAGCATCGCACTGGCTATAAAATGACTGTTTATAGTGTTTTCATTTAGTCAAATTAGTGTCACTTTATTCCCGAAATTTATTTGACACTTCTGGGACTCTCCTGGCACAAGCTGCAAATCTTTGAACTTTTGGGCTGTATCAGCATTCAGTGAAATTGTCGTGCTGATCTACCACTTGAAACCCTTGAAGCACATTTGTTACGATCTGAAATAAATGAAATGACATTTAATATAAATATTTTGTTTTATCAACAGAATAACCATGTACTAATGTTAATATACGTACCTGGAATAACTAACAAAAAAGAAGTTGAATATAACTTCTGAGTAAATGAAAAAAAAAATGGGGGAAATTTCATCCATTTTCAAAAGACCATAGCATCAAAAATATTCAGTTGAAAATTATAAATAATACCACACCCCATTCACAATAATGTAGTAACTAACTTTAAAGCTTTCATTTGTATTTTCAAGGTCTTTAGATACCTCTGATGTTTGGGCCAAAATAGGTCGTGAATTTATTTTTGCACCGCAAAAATTTACAAATTTCCTTCAAATTTCACGCCACAAAAACAACAGATCAGATGATGAGGGAGCCTTAAAAGTACCTACATAACTTACTTTTATATATTCTAAACCGATTTGTGCAAGTTTAATCAGTTTTCTACAAGTAGGTTAAGCCTGATAACTCTGCAGATTTTATACATGTTCACCCGTTTTTAACAAATATCCGCCATTTTGTCGATCTCATTCATACAGACTGGAAATTTCCACACCCGATTTACGCCATTTGGAAGCGTAATCTAGTAAAAATACACGTACATAACAAAAACATAAGACTTACCTGTCATTATTTCTTGAGTATTTTGTGCCGATGCTCGTAAATTAACACTTAATTTACAGATTTTTCATCAACAAAAATTGCTCCGTCCGCCATCGATTAAATTTTTTGGTAGCATGTGCGCATGCGCACGACCGACACGACAGCAATCTCGGTCTAAAACCTTGTTGCGGATACCGTTAATATACGTACCTGACCAAAAGTAGGGGACGAGTTGACCAAAAAGGTGACGAGTTGACCAGGGGCCAAGTTGACCAGGGGACGAGTTGACCGGATTGCATTATTTTATACTATTTCAGTTTTTCACGGTAAAAGTAAATTGAGCTTTGAGGCTTTGCCTTTTTCATATTAATATGTCAGGCATGTCATTCTCCTGCAAAAACACATCTTGAACATGATAACTCAATTTTACGGTAGGTAGTCCGAGCTAAAAACACACGACTGAACAATATCTGAAAATCCGAAATTACGTTAGACGTTTACTGGTGTTCATGCTATAAAAGTCGATATCACGTTTCCTTTCGATACGTCTGTTGAAATGAACACCACTCTTTTTCTTTGCATATTATAACAGTATATTCACCTGGATCGCTTTCAAGTTCAAGCCACCCTTTGTTCATTTTGAGTGGAAAGGATAAAAATAATGAAAAAATTGTTAGTCTGTATCATCAGATGTTTGTATTGTAGTTGGACGGTAAAACCCAAACGCTTGGGTGATACAGACTTACGCGAAAGTGCGAAATAAACGAAATGATATACATTTTATGATATACGTCTTTGGAATAACCCCAGTTTTAATATCTTTACTGAGAGGCTTGACCCATTCTATAAATTGTAAATTGCACGATATGTCTTTTGAATTAATAGGCTTGTACAACTTTTATCTTTTTAAATTTGCACATAGATAATTTCTTTTAATAACAGTTCCCCGACAACGCGCCTGCTAGCAGTAGCATGTAGATGTAACTAGATGATATCATGTTGGTAGGTTAATGAGCTAAGTGACTGGTGTATCAGTTATTTCTTTCTTATTTTTCCTGGTTTAAAAAATGAAATAAAACCCTCCAAGTAATTAAGATGCCTTTTAGCATCTTTATAAAAAGTCTTCACATATACACTTTAGTCTTTGTCTGAAAATAGAAAACTGAAAAAGCCTCATTTACGTCTTTGAAAAGCACAACTCTCTGATGTAAAACTGACGTGGCATCTTAAAATCAAGGACCTATAACTTAAAACCTCTCTGAGTATCTTCAAAATATTTTCTGTTTAGTTTTTTTTTTACATGGTTGTTGCGTGGCTATCACATGACATTTAAGCATACTACATGGTGCAGGTATATGTGCTCTAAGATGTTTTGTTTCCTAATATTCATTTTCATATTAGTAATTTGTGTATTTACATGACTTACAAAGGTTATGGCAATTTATATGAAATTACCCTAAGTAACGAAATATTCAGTGTAAATATCTGTTCCTATGCATTAATTGTTTTGATACATGTTTGTCCGAAACTAAGCTTGTATATGTTGTCCTTCTACCCACTACAGAGTCAAGCAAATTATATGTTAGTAAACATAAGTTGATGACATCATTGGAACTTCTAGTTAAAAATAAACAGCTCATGAATTAAAAGTTTGAGGTTAGATTGAGTGTGAGATTAGATACTTAAACAATAAAGTATTCTAATATGAGAATAATAAATGGACGTAGAGTTATTTTTCAATAACGGGACAAGCACGTTAAAGTGACCATATAACAATGAATGATGGTCGGACATACGGCTTTTAAGTCAGCAATTGAAAATAAATGTATCCAAAAGTTAATAACAAGCAAAATAGTTTAAACCAAGTTATGATTTACAGCTAGAATTGAACAACTAATAGATAAAAGGTAATAAAAAATTGCAAGAAATACCGGTTACATAAAATGCATGCCATATGGTTCTGTAACATAACATTTCCTTGTCAAAGTGCTTTTAGAGTATTAATTATAAAAAAATGACAATTTCAATATTCGTAAATTAACTTTTACATTTTTAACAATCATTAAAAGAATTTCATGTTACATAAATATTTTGATATAAATTACTTTTAGATTCTCAACTGATAAATTTTACAACTGCAGTATAAACATGTCATAGTGGTCAAAATGAAATATTATCACCTTTCAATTTTAATACTTTATGGCTTGATTATCAATTTCCTAGTCTATTTATCAAACAAGCCATACTTGATTATCTTATGGCATTTATTGCTAATAGAGCTTAAGGCTTAATCACTATGACAACATTTTGTAGTTTTTTTTATATTTTAAATAAGTCTTATTTTGAATCGGAACTTACAACATCTAAAGTCTTATCTAGAATTTCGGACGTATATAACATCTAGTCTATACTTTGAAATTATATTTAGTTAATTCAGGTGTTAGCTTTATTGTAATATTTGTGGACTATTATAATCTATTTTATAATTTGATGAACTATTCCAGTGATAAATTAAAAAAGAATTAAATTGAACTTGACATTTTGTGTTGTGTCATTTATAAAATAGATAAATACAGAATCCCTAAAGAAAGCCCAACACGGCAAAATTGAAAATGTTGCAGGCTCGGTTTGATTGAGCCTGTTCATGGACGGTACTGGAAAGTGCAAGTTACCGTCCACGCCCCCTAGCACCGGCTTAAGCAGAATTCAACATTTAACATGAACTGGTAAAATTTACAATTTTGAAACATCCGCAGATGTGTTCATATGGCGGTTATCATGGAACCTTCAATGTGACACGGTAGTGCCATTCCATGAAAAGCGGCATATGGTCCCCAAGTAAAAAAATGCGTGTGCCCTAAACGAGAAAACAATGGGCGGAACTAAATAAAATGGAATTTTGAAAGGGGATCTGAGGTTATGAAGCCTGCGTATCACAGAGAGGACGTCAAAAGACAAATTTAAAAAGCAGGCAACATATCCTAAGGGTGATTCAACATTATTCAAGTAGGAATATTGGAACCACCCAACTAGAAAGTGCCAAAAAGTTGAAACTAAAAATACCACAAGCACAACAATAATGTCGTGCTGAACGATCTTCAAGGATCGAAAATATAACATCATTGATTAAATGTACGGGGAGACTTTTTATAAGTTATATTTAACAAAGAGGATACTGGATGTCACGGTTACAAGAAATAAAATATTAAAATATGATAAACAAGATCAACAAGGAAAGGCGGCGTTAATGAACGCAACCCAACACGACCCAGCAACAAGAACAAGTGGCAAGGAGCCCAGACGGACCCCAAACAAAAATAGGACAGGGCACAAGACAGGCTAATCAGTATCCCACCACAACCAGCCAAGGGTTTCCGTGTAGGGCGCTCACTACACCAGCGAATCTTATTCCCCAAACGACCCCAAAGCGAAGGCTCTGCCGGCGACCCTTGGCTACAGTTCATTGAAAATACTTTGAAATGAAACTAACCGTTATAACATGATGAAATATAACCCCAATTATCCGGTGGTTGCAATTCTAAATTGAGGGGCACTTAATGATTCTCAATATACAAATGTAAGTACAACATCGAGTTAATTGCTATATACCATGAATGATGTCCTGGTAGCACGTAACTCGACTCTGGATCAAGTCATATTTAGGTTTTATAACCGTAAAGTTCCAGTCACATAATGAGCACCATTAGGGCATGTTTACGGTTCTCTCTGCTTCTGGAAATACACAAATAAATTTCCTTCCACTATCACAGCTAACAAATATATGTTTTCATTGCTTCTTTTTAATTCATACAGTGCTCATATGAAAGAAATAAAAATGGCGACGATTGGCAAAGACACGGTCCAACAGATGATTATTATTTTCTGCTTTTATAGAAGTAATTCTGTGTAAATATTCCTTTATTGAATAAGTCTGTAAGAAATTTTTGTCAAGAAAACTATGTTATTTTTTTCCGGATATTAAATATGTACTGTATATTTTCAAATTCGCGCTCAAACATTTAGAGTTGGAAATAATTTTGCGCTTTCCATTAATGCTTAATTGTGAAAATATCAATTATAGGTGAGACTTTTAGATAGCATTTTTAAAAAGGTTTGGATTTTCTTTAGGGATTATTATTTTTTCTATTTTATCCCCACATCAACATTGTTTGTGCCGTGTGGAGGCTGCAAAATGCCGCCCCATACATTCAATTAGAGATGTTATATTTCCTATCTTAAAAATAGTTCAACACGACACTTTTGTTCCGATGAATTCTGCTTAAGCGGGAGCATGGATGGTAGTTTGCCCTCGACAATACCGTCCATGATTAGGCTCAATCAAACCGAGTCTGCAACATTTTCAATTTTGCCGTTTTGGACTTTGGGGATTCTCATTTTCTCTATTTTGTTGTTTTATGTAAATAATTGCTTTCAATATGAAATTTCAGCTTTATCTCAAATTCTATTCTGTTTTATGATGTAAATCTTAGAGATAAGCATTTAAAGATAAAACAAAAACAAAACAAAATGTTGATTAATTATATATAGAATTTAAAATTGACCAAGTCACTTTTAACTACTAACTTCTTATTTTTATTTGAAGAAGCAGTAAGAGACAGCCAAAGAAGTATTCAAACACAATCATGAAACACTCGAGACATGCCAAGAAAGATCAAAAGAAGAGGTTGATCGGAACAGATTGTATCTAAAGGGTTAAACTAAAAGTACTTCATAAAAAGTTTGAATTTAAGCTGCATCTTTTGAAATAAAATATTAAGTATTGTCTTGATTTTTTAGTGAAACTCTGTTACTTTGTTTTATATCTTAAAATATAAATATGGTGGGTTTTCGACATTGAAACTTCAACTGAAGCCGCCACGTCGTATCAACATTCAAATTTCAACGTTGTTTAAACTTTCAAACCCGAATATAAATCCAACGTTATTTCAACGTTGGAATTTGACCATAATTCAACGTTGTTTCAATGTTGATGTGCCTGCTGGGAAGGTACTTGGCAGTTTCAGCTGAGGGTATATGGGAAAATGGTAGGGTTCCTTTTTACAGGTGGTCGGCCCTATGCACATTACACATGTCCGGATGAACTTCATAGTCCAGACTCGTTCCTATATTTATAGGTTCTGTAAGCCATTTTGTAATCTGTCCACGTCTGTTTCACCCTCGTTTGTCGCGTAGAATATTAAGAGGTTAATACACGGCAGGAGAGGGCCGGAAGGTGATAATCGGCCCGCAAAATGAATAATGGACCCGAGGGCTTTAGCCCGAGGGCCATTATTCATTCAGGGCCGATTATCACCTTCCGGCCCTACTCTGACGTGTATTAATGTCTTTAATACACTTGGTAGATCTAATAGTAGCATTTTTAAAAAAGAAAAAAAAAAAACAACAACAACAAATAGAAATCTACTTTGAAGTTCTTTGGTTGAAATTCTTGTGTTCTGTACGGAGATGTTTACTGTTTGTGTGTTCAAAGAAGCAAGTTTTATTTTCATTTTTTTTTTCGGATTGAATTTGTCGTATTATTTCTTCAAATTTCAACAGTAACAAAAATGTGTTTGTACTAAATACGATGTGCTGTCAACCTACTTTCACTTTTACAGTTAACTGTTTCATGACGTAAAATATGACGTCATTGTTTCAGTTTGTGCACGTGCACATGTTCTGCGGGCTGATAACTAGTTCTCGGCCCCGGGCCGCAAACTCATAATAGGTCACGTGACACTCATAATCAGTTGAAATCATAGGCAATTTTGTTACTATATATAGTAACAAGTGTATTAAAGTGTCATCCATCCTCAAATAACCTTGCTTTACTTTTTACCGTTTCTGACATTAATTCTTTATAAATTTATTTCATTGGCAAATTAACAGAAGTACAATGTATGGCCCTAAACTGCGCCTGTCTCTGACTGCGATTGCTCAGAAATGACCTAATTCAGGGTGAAACTTGATAGTTTATGCCAATTATTTGTAATGCATATACATGTATTAATTTGAATTTGTCAACTTTTTCAAAGACCTTTGAAAAGGCCATTTCAATGACATCCGTATGTGGTCCATTGCCTAGGTTATTTAATATTAATTAAAGCAACGATTGACGAAGTAGGGCGATATTCACTTAGCACAGCCTGGAAAAACACCCACCCAAACATTGCCATCAGTAATATAATACACAGCAGAATAAGGCACGAGTATCAAAGGAATAATTTCACAAGTAAAAGCAATGACGTCCCGTAGAGTTGTAGTTTAAGTTGATTTTCAAAGTTTGATAAGATAAATCTTTTGAATGAAGGGACAGAAATGGGAATTACTTAGGTAGGGGTGTATAATGGAGTTTCCTTGAGAAAAAGTTTTTCGTATATAAATGTCTTCTTCGCATTTAAGACTTACCGGGAATCTAATCGGAACAGCTCGGCTATTATTCACTCAATCGCGTCTTTCCGTCTGTCTTTAGCCGTATAATCCGAAGTTTGACGGAAAAGACCGACCTAAGACTGACGGAAATAACCGAAATGTTGCTACTATCTGAAAGCGTTTGTTGATGTTGATCAGTTGAACGTGGTTTTCAGTGGTTTTAACCGGTTTTACTACGTTTTATTATTCATTTCCAGCAAGTTATTGTCAATCATGTCGGGTAGAGAAGGTAAGAATTTTATGAATCTGTTTATTTATTTAGTTAATTTTGATTCTGACTTCTGTTTCTCTCAGGTTTTCTTGTAGATCTATCTTCAGATCATTCGCGCTCTTCGTTTTTCCGGATTACTTATTTAAATTGTAAAAAAAAGCCACACAATGAAAGACGTTTAAACGCTTTTCACTCAAAACAGGCTTAGAAAAGCATAAAAAATACGATTTTCAATTTATTTCAAAGTATATTTCTTAACGGTAATAGGACATTTCGGACAATGGACGTTTCGGACCAGATTTTGGGACACTTCGGTCCATATTTAGGGACATTTCGGACCAGATTTTTGGACATTTCATATATTTATTAAAAAAATCTGTAAAATTATGGATTGTCCAAAAATTTACAGACTGTAGGTAAATATCTTGAAATCTTGACCTGATCTTGTATTATCTGGTAATTTTATTTATTGCTTGTTGCTATGTAACAATTTTTCTTACAATTTTTTTCTTTTGTTCATAATGTCTAAAGGGATATTTTTCTGTATTGAGGGCAAAAAATTACTATTTAGAAATGTTAAGTTCATCTTTGCCAGTTCATTCCTTAGCCCAATGATAATATAAGAATTTAAAGAAAACAGGATACTCGAAATACCTGGCAGTCATCAGTTAATCTATATTATATATCATGTCAAATAAAGACATCAAAATTATAAGACAGTAAAATAGAGTTATTTAAAAGTGGATAAAAGAAGAATACTGAAAACGTTGTTAAAGAAATCTATAAATTGTAATTTACGTAATCAAGAATTGGTTTTAAATTTGCATAATAAGCATCATATGATTGACTGAAATATTTCAAATAGTATGCTCAGACTGGGACTTAAAATATACATATTTTAACTCCCAGGGTCAGATGAGAATTTTATATTTATGGAACCGAACATATTTTGAATATTTGTTCCCATTCAAAGTCCAATAATGAATATATTTAATGTTACGGGCTTGTTAAAGTTTATGATGGTCAAGCATATTACAGATATTGCTAGGAAAACCATAGCAACTTAATAAAATAAAAAAAATATCTAATGTTTTGCCTTTCAAGTTTGCCTTATCAAAAGTTTATCAAATATTTTTCAATTTCATGCTCAATCATTAATAAAAAAATCTCAAACGGTGTAATATTACTAATAATCAATTTAAAATAAAATACAAACAACAATCTGATTTTGCATGTCTGCCATACTGGTTAAGTAAAGCGCTTTACAGATTGATTCCAAATTTTTTGACAGAAAAACATATTCATACAAACTTATATCGGCAAATATTTCATTAAAAAATATTTTGTTTTTGAGACTTTGACTCATTAAATGCTTACATTTAATTAGTCTATCAGATTTAGTTCTTACCGTGATAGCCTTTTCTGTATTGGTTCAGTGTATAAGAATGCTTAAATAAAAGGATTTAAATATGATTTTTCGGATGTTACAGTTTGATTATTTTGTTAGAAAAAGTATTTGTTTAATCTTTTTTACTTTTGATCATCAACAGCTCAAAATTTATGTATTTATAATTTTATAACAGGAGGCTTGTAATATATTGACTCGCTATTGGTCAGCTAGTATTAGCCACTAGCTGATAAGCCCCGCCTAAATTCACCTGGCATCACCTCTATGTAGTATGATTAGTAAATAGATTTAGTAACCAGACGGCTGCGTTGTTTAATCTCTCTACCCATGCTTGTCCAGTAACTATGTTATAGCAGACATTACATTGGCGACGAGGATGGACTTAGGCCAAAAGTATTACAAATAGCACATGAAACACATCAAGGCATAGTGAAAACAAAGCAAATGCTAAGAGAAAAAGTTTATTGGCCTGGCATTGACAACGAAATTGAAATGCTGATTAAAACGTGCTTCCAGTGCCAGCTAGTCTCAAACCCGCCACGACAACTTCCTATCACGCCAACCGAATTACCAGAGACACCCTGGCAAATTGTTGGGATGGATTTAACAGGACCGTTCCCAGGGGGAGAATATATTCTTGTAGTAATAGATTACTACTCTCGTTATCCAGAAGTTGAAATCATGAAATCAATCACTTCAAGATGTATCATTCAAAGACTTATGAAAATATTCGCCACACATGGACTTCCGTCAGTGATTAAAACGGACAATGCACCAAACATGGTATCTCAAGAAATCACAAACTTCTTCACTGCAAACGGAATAAAACACCAACGTGTTACGCCTTATTATCCACAAGCAGCAGGATTGGTAGAAAATTTCAACAAAACAATAGCAAAATGCGTTAAGACTGCTAACAATGGAAAGAAAAACTGGCGAACAGAAATCTACAAATTTTTGATGACATATCGAACAACCCCTCATGTATCCACAGGATCCGCACCTGCATCCCTATTATTCAACAGAACAATTAGGAATAAACTACCGCACTTTGAAAGAAAGAAAAATGACACAAAAGTAAGAAAAATGGACTCATACAAAAAACAAAACATGAAGAAATACGCAGACAGGCAGGCAAATACTCGGATTATAACATATAAACTTGGACAGAAAGTGCTTATTCTAAACAAACATCAAGGAAAATTAGACTCAAAATGGAATAATGAAATATACACTGTTATTGGACAAACGGGAAATCAAGTGAAATTAAAATCAAGACACAATGACATTGTGAGAAGGCATATCACTCAGATCCGTCCATTTTATCAGAGATAAACTGTCAGACACATTCTCAATGAAAACAAACTGACCATACAGACTAACCATTAAACTAAGAAAATTAATGACATGTTTCAGGAAATGATTACTTTAAATTAAATAGCAATAAATGCTATCATTCAAACTGCTAGAGAAAACATTAAGATTAATCAGTGTAACATTATTTCTGAGACTGTTTACAAAATGTCTAAACTTTATTGCTCTGAAAACTTCATGCCTCTTAGATAAATGACCACTATTATTTACAAGTGACATGCTAGATTATGTTCATGATTATAATGCTTTTATTTCAGGGATTTTGAGTTCATGAACTTTTTAAACTACTTGCATGTTATTCTTCTGAGAAAAAGGCGGATGTAATATATTGACTCGCTATTGGTCAGCTAGTATTAGCCACTAGCTGATAAGCCCCGCCTAAATTCACCTGGCATCACCTCTATGTAGTATGATTAGTAAATAGATTTAGTAACCAGACGGCTGCGTTGTTTAATCTCTCTACCCATGCTTGTCCAGTAACTATGTTATAGCAGACATTACAAGGCTTCTCAATGAAAACTGCCATTTTTCGCAATTTGCTCATGGGGTAAAAGGTTAAAAATAATGATTAAATTTTAATCTTAAGCATAAATTTGTATTATATCGATTATTATATGTTGCTGTTGTGTATATCCAGGTGGCAAAAAGAAACCTCTAAAACAGCCAAAGAAGAATAAAGGGGAGATGGATGAGGTAAGATACTCTCTTTATATTAAGTTTCATTTATAACTAGAATAACTTAATTTGTTTAGTTGGTCGAAAACAAAGCTGGGTTAATACTAAATTCTCTGTTGTTTGGTACATAACAAAATAATGGGTTACAATAAATATTGCAAGTGAACATATCAGATTATAAAGTACAGAATGTGCAGTAAAATATAATGAACATATATCAATGTATCAGGGCTCATCCGGAAGGGCGATTCAGGCGAAAACTTCGCCGTGTATATTCCAATTTCGCTCTTCCAATTGATCAAAGAGAAGTCAACATCGCCGATAAAATCTTAATTCCAAATAGTAATTACTTAGCGTTGTAAAGAGCAGAGATTGTATCCGCCCATATGACGACCGCTAATTATCATTATCCAATCAGAGCGTCGCTTTATACTACCCTTCTACCTGTAAGCGAAGCGATAGACCGCCTACTCTAAACAGTAAATAATGAGAGCATCGACCCGAAACGGTATAATTGTGTGATAGTTTGCGAGTTTAATCCGGGATTTGGCGATAATTATACATTGTTTTTTCCCCGATTATCTAAACACGTGCAATCTTCCCTAATTGATATACACGATGCACTTCGATGGTGGGTTTTTAACCCGAGTAAAGGCGATGTGCAATGGATTTTTCACGGCTATCACAAAACTGTTTGTCAATTAAAAATAATCAATTTCATTAATGATCAGCGACCGGATTAAAAACTTAATCATAGTTTTGAGTCTGTTAACATCAAATTTTTACTGTAAATTTGTTATGTCGCTCACGTCATGGCTACAGGGCGAAGTGCCCAAACCTAGCAGTAAAACTAAAAGAAAGTTACGGATTCTGATACATAAACGCGAAAATTTAAGGAAACCATTTCGCAAAAATCTTGCGATTGGTATGTTGTAGACAGTGGGGGTGTTTGGCATTGTTCTGTTTTTAGAAATGCCAAATTTGACACAGTTTACGCACGTGGGCAAGACATCCCGGCTAAACTACATATCGGTCGTATATCATGTTACGTATATAACAACAAAATTTGTCAAGAAGACGAGTTCTTATTGTTTCAATATACATATTTGTTTCAATGTCGTAAATATGACGCTCAGATTAAGATTTATCAATTTTGTAAATTTAAAAAGCATTATTTATAAAGATATAACCGAATTTAACATTTCATGAAAATAAAGGGAGGTAATTAGAAATTAATTTTCTACAATTTCTCAGTCAAATTTTTCAATAAGAAATGAATGTATGTAATTTTAGTGATCAAATATAATGTGCACAAATGTTTGCAGTACATATTTTACATATTCTTTGATGTTTGAAAATTGTTTTATAAGCATAATTATATGCATATAAATCTGACATTACAACATTCAGGACATAAAAGAAATTTCTGTTACCAGAACAGAATAGAACAGATTTTATTAATCAACATCCAAGGTGACTTCATCTTCTAATAAAAGTGAGGAAAGAAAAAATATGAAATTGATTTTATCATCACATCTTTTCTTACACATCATTATCAACAAATGTACATGAAAATATATAAACACATATTTTGAGAAAGCTTATAAATAGCTGATCAATAGATATCAATAATAATTTTTTATATTCATATTTGCAGCTCAAAAACATTTAGATGCTATTGCCAGATCTACTACTAATTAATCTACTTTTAATTAATACTACTATTAATTAATCTACTATTAATTAATTAACTGAAGAAATATTATAAGTGATGTCAATTGTGTTTATATTATATTTAAAGCATGTATAGCCATCATGTTAATGCATACACATTGGGTTGTTTCCCTTCTCCCTAATTTTCGCGAGGAAGTCACTTCTCCCTAAAATTTCCCCCCAGGATGAGCCCTGAATGTATAATGTACTATTCTACCATAATAGTTAAATTTTGTGTGTTCCCTTCAGATTTTCATCTTAATTGTTAAAAGATATACCTATAAATGTAGAAATGTGAATTGTTAAGGATTTTGCCATAATTATTGTGATTTTTGTGCCCCCACGTTAGTGGCGGGCATTTAGATTTACCCTTGTCCGTCCGTTCACTTTTGTGTTTCACATAACTCAAAAAGTATTTGACCTAGTGTCATGAAACTTTACAGGAATGTTGATCAGCATGTGTAGTTGTGCACCTGGGTATTTTCGTGTGGATATTTTTAGTATTTTCAGAGTTATTGCCCTTGACTTAGTAAAATTTTGCAATTTTCAACTTGTGTCGCATGTAACTCAAAAAGTATTTGACCTAGAGTCATGAAACTTTACAGGAATGTTGATCAGCATGTGTAGTTGTGCACCTGGGTATTTTCGTCTGGATATTTTTAGTATTTTCAGAGTTATTGTCCATGACTTAGTAAAATTTTGCAATTTTCAACATGTGTCGCACGTAACTCAAAAAGTATTTGACCTAGAGTCATGTAACTTTACAGGAATATTGATCAGCATGTGCAGTTGTGCACCAGGTATTTTCGTCTGGATTTATTTAGTATTTTCAGAGTTATTGCCCTTCACTTAGAAAATTTTTGCAATTTTCAACTTGTGTCGCAAGTTACTCAAAAAGGATTTGACATAGTCATTAAACCTTATGGGCAGGTTGCTCAGCATAATTATTTAGATTTGCACCTGGGGTTTCGCTTGTGGATTTATCCAGTATTTGTAGAGTTATTTCCCTTGACTTAGTAAAAATGACAGAACAGTGGCGCGATGGGGGCACCCGTGTCCTATGGACACATTTCTAGTTAAATAACAAAATTAATCTACATTTTGTAAGAAAATTAGATATGCCAGATTTGACTATAGTTTACATTTATTTTACTTTTGGCAGGATGAAATGGAGTTCAAACAGAAGCAAAGAGAGCAGCAAAAAGCTTTAGAAGCAGCCAAGGCAAAAGCAGGACAAAAAGGTCCTTTGGGTATGCAAAACATGTTTTTCAAATTCTATAAACTACTGGTTCAAACCATGATTTTTTTAGCTCACCTGAGCATGCTCAGGGTGAGCTTTTAGGATCGATGATTGTCCGTCGGCCTTCGTCCGTTCACATTTAGTTGTTAACACTCTAGCGGTCGCATTTTTGCCACAATCATCGTCAAACTTGGTCAGGATGCTTATCTAGTTGATAGCATGGATGAGTTCTAACATGGGTCATCTCGGATGAAAAACTAGGTCACAAGAGCTAAAAATAGAAAAACCTTGTTAACACTCTAGCAGTCACATTTTTGCCTCAATCATCATCAAACTTGGTCAGGATGCTTGTCTAGGTGATAGCTTGTATGAGTTTAAACCTGCATGGGTCATCTCGAATGAAAAACTAGGTCACAGGAGCTAAAAATAGAAAAATCTTGTTAACACTCTAGTGGTCACACTTTTGACACAAGTGTCATCAAACTTGGTCAGGAAACTTGTCTAGGTAATTGCTCAGATTAGTTTGAACATGGGTCATCTCGGATGAAAAACTAGGTCAAAGGAGCTAAAAATAGAAAAATCTTGTTAACACTCTAGTGGCTACTGTTTTGATCTAAATATCCTGTAAATTGGTCTGAAAGTTTGTTTTGATAATTTCTAAGTCAAGTTCGAACATTGGTCATCTCGGATGAAAAAGTAGGTCACACCGCCCAAATATGGAAAAACCTTGTTAACACTCTAGTGGTCACATTTTCGACTCAATTATCATCAAACTTGGTCAGGATGCTTGTCTAGGTAATTGCTCAGATGAGTTCGAAATCGCATGTGAAACTAGGTCACCAGAGCTAAAAATAGAAAAATCTTCTTAACACTCTACTTGCTACTGTTTTGATCCAATTATCCTGGAAATTGGTCTGAAAGTTTGTTTTGATGATTTCTAGGTCAAGTTTGAATATGGGTCACCTGGGTAAAAAACTAGGTCACACTGCTCAAATATGGATAATCCTTGTTAACACTGTAGTGGTCATGAAACTTGGTCAGAATGCTTGTCTAGGTAATTGTTCGGATGAGTTTGATGGGTCAGGTGAGCGATCTAGGGCCATCATGGCCCTATTGTTTAATTTTATTCTCCAACCACTTTTTGTTAGGGGCAATTTATAGATTTGCACATGCTTTTTATTCCAATTTCTTTACATAGAGCATTTTGTGTGACTGTGACATGTTGCACCAAAAGTGAAACTGATAGAGCAATGAAACTTTGTAGCATGTTCACTAACTCACCTGGGTATTTCGATTCAAAATTATTGGAGATCAGCACATGCCTTCTGATAATCAAAATATAGTTGTATGTGAAGGTGTGAAAGCCTGTCTTAGCCATATTAATCTTTATCATAAACGTCCATTTACAGTGTTAAAAAGTTGTTTAGAACTTTATAAAAGGATTTCTTATGGCCATGTTTATGCTTTGAGTGTGGTACAAAAGAAAATTATACAAGATTAGGAAGGAAGACAATTTGGATGTAACGAGTATATGATATATCCACAGGTGTACACTGTATAATCAGAGTGTTAATGTGAGGACCTTTGATGCCACATATGGCCACCATGTTTAATGTTGTCTGCAGGTTAAATGTTGAAAGATTGCTTAACAGTGAAATAGAAGTAAATAAACTGTAAAATTATTTGGAATGTTTTTGTTTTGATTTTTTTAAAAATTATAAATGCAAATATAATATTCAAGATTTTGACGAACAATGGAAGTAACTGATTATGTAAATTGGTCAATGGAAGTTATAAAGACATTATGATCTTAAATTCTCTATTTTTATGTTGCAGGTGGTGGTGGGATAAAGAAATCTGGCAAGAAGTGATCTTCATCCACAAAATGCACCTTCAATTTGACCTCGATGATTTTTTATTTTTTTATTGGAAGTTTTGGCAATGGCATTGGAGAAATTGAACTGTGCTTCATTGAACTTGTACCTAAAATTCATCAACAATTTTGAATTTCTCTAGGTCATTAGTGTTCAAAAATGTTATTATTAGGTGTTCAGTAATCTGAGATTGTTATATTTTGTTGGCTGTTGTACTTCTTGTGTAGTTCATTTACAGTTTTGACTTTACCCCCATCTAAATCCAGCCTCTAGGCTTACTGATCTGATGTCTCCTGTCTATTATGTTTCATTTGCCATGATTGTGTGGTCTTAAATTGAAGTTAAATAGAAACAAATATATTTCCTTGAAGTTTATATAAATTTTTAGATTCTTAATTGAAATTGGGATATGTACATTTTCTTCTACATTGTATTTTTTGTGCATAGATGTATAAATGTATGATATTAAGGAAAATGTGTAACATTGATTTAACATGCAGTACTATCACGCAATCCTTTTAAAAATATATGTGTAACTGTACATACATAACTTTTTACACAAGCAATTATCATAGTATTGCAAGCAATCCATAAGTCCCCTACCGGTTAGAACCCCATCAACATTCTGAAGGGCCATTGGCCATTCACTAATGTTTCAATTTTTCTCTATTTTAAGTAAATTTGTTGGAAAAGTTCTTTAAAAGTGATCACAGGAAACAGTTTTTATGAACAGACAGACGGACTGAAGGACACTCTAAAGTTAATATTTGAAACATCCCTGTTACCAAAATATAAAATTTTAAAAGCAAAATTCTTAAAGAGGAGATAACTCTTGAATTAAAGATGCAATTTCATAAAAATTTTCAGCTCTTTTGACTAATCACAAATATTGTTTTATTTGCCATGTTTTAAGCCTATTTGTTGCCAAGGCAACTGATATTTTATCAAAATAGGAAGAACGGATAAGACATGCATAATCTCAAGACTGCTATCTACCCATATGTCAAGTTTCATAAAAATATTTCCAGTACTTTTTGAGTTATAACTGGATTCAGTTTATGTGTAAAATTTGCCATATTTTCAGTCTATGTGTTGCCATAACAACCAGAATTTTCAACATAGGAAGAAAAGAAAAAGACATGCATAATCTCAAGACTGCCATCTACCAATATGTCAAGTTTCATAAAAATATTTCCAGTACTTTTTGCGTTATCACTGGATCCAGTTTATGTGTAAAATTTGCCATATTTTCAGCCTATTTGTTGCCATAGCAACCAGAATTTTCAACATAGGAAGAAAAGAAAAAGACGTGCATAATCTCCATACTGCCATCTATCCATATACCAAGTTTCATAAAAATATTTTCAGTACTTTTCAAGTTATCGCGGGATCCAGTTTATGTGTAAAATTTGCCATATTTTCAGCCTATTTGTTGCCATAGCAACCAGAATTTTCGACATAGGAAGAAAAGAAAATAACGTGCATAATCTCCATACTGCCATCTATCCATATACCAAGTTTCATAAAAATATTTTCAGTACTTTTCAAGTTATCGCGGGATCCAGTTTTGTGGACGGACGGACTGACGGACTGACAGACGGACAGACGGACGGACAGACAGACGGACGGACAGACGGACGGAGGGTAAACCTAAAGTCCCCTCCGGTAAACCGGTAGGGGACTAAAAATGATTTTGTCTTACAGACTGATAACCAAATGTATACGTTTTGATGTCCTTGACTTCTCGCTTAAAATTTCAGATTTGTTTAGCTTTATTTTCAGTAGGTCAAATGATTATGAATTCTTTGATTTGTGTATGGAAAGTTGGCAACATTTGATGCTTCATTTTATCATTTTACCATTACGTGCATATATGTGTATAAAATAAATCAACTGAGTAATAATGTAATATAATGATGTTTATTACAAATTGGACTGCTTTCTTTCTTTATTTCACACAAAATAAAAAATTGTTAAGTGTTTTGTTTGATTTGGTTTTACGTCACACCAACACAGCTAGTATAGCTTCCTCACATGAAGAATCCAAAGTCCCTGTCCGGATTTGAACCAACAGCGGTGAGGGGCAAGTGGCTTGAAGTCAATGACCTTAACCACTCGGCCATGGATGCCCCTTTGTAACATGATAAAATACATGCATCATTTGCTCGAGGAAATAATAAAATCTTGTCAGATTCATGATGGAAATAGATAGAAATGTGTGAAATAAATAAATCTTCAAAAAATCATAAGATAGAAATGTGTGAAATAAATAAATCTCAAAAAATCATTCCTAGATAAATATATTTCATACTGCATAAAATGTTACGCACCTAGTTGTCTGCCTGCCTGTCAGCAGTTAAGTGTCCACTCTAGATCTTTTGAAATGGTTGAAGGAAGTTGAAACTGCTTGGCAGAAATGTTAACCATTATGAAATGATGTGTGAAGCGAAGGTTTTGACTTTCTTAGGTGGAAGTCTCAACTTTAAAATATTGTGTCTGCTCTCTAACTTTTGAACCGCTAGAAAGAAATTAAAACTTCTTGGCAGAAATATTACTTATAATGAGACAGTGCGCAGAACACTGGTTTGCGCTACCCGAGATCAAAATTGGCACCTGAGGATTACTTGATTTATATAGTTCTTGTGTCAGACTTGTATAGTTCTTGTGTCTGGTCTGTATCTTTTAAAGCGGTGGAAGGAAAGTAAAACTACTTGGCAAAATAATAACCATAAAGAGACGATGTGTGTATTTGACCTTTCTCAGATCCAAGGTCTGTATCTTTTGAAGCGTGGAAGGAAAGTAAAACTACTTGGCAAAATAATAACCATAAAGAAACGATGTGTGTATTTGACCTTTCTCAGATCCAAGGTCACACGCATTTTGTATAAACTTCAAAGTATTGTGTTCACTCTGTATCTTTTGAACTGATATAAAAAAAACTTTGGCAGAAATATTACTTATAATGAGATAGTGGCCAGGCTTCCTGAAATGAAAATTGGCCCCACCCTATCAATGATAACTGCAGCATTTTGAACACCATTGTAAACACAGGGAGAAGACGCTGTGATCTGATATTATCCCGGGCCCCCTCCCCCCGAAGGCCCTGCTACAACCCATAAAAAATATCAATGCAAGTTGATTTGCACAATAAAAATTCATAAAAACAATATTCTGACACGTTTCGACGATTTTCATTATATCCCTATACTATATTTTATAACATAAACATATTTTTCCGTCAACTTCAAAATCAGGCATTCTATACTTTTGTGAACGTTTTTAACAGTATTGTTGTAAATCTCATAAAAAATTGTTCATAAGCTCTGATTTTGAAAGGAAATCCATGTGGTAACACTTAAGTTCATATATGAATTTTAACATGCAAATGAAGACTAGTATAATTCGAGTATGCGCTATGTCATGGTGGTAAAATCATGCAATTGTAACCATGTGGGTCACAGCAAATACGAGATATTCTTGTGCAAACAAACTTTTACCGTTTTAGTTTCACAGTGCATAATATATAGCCCTGTCGTTAACAAAAAACTAATCATCTGAAAACGTCCATATTATAATGCGGAAATGGGACTGCTGCTTAAAAATGTTTGTTGATTTTCTATTGATATACGGATGACCCAAAGGCGGAGTTCCTCATACAAATAGAAATTATACACAATTAGGTTGCAGAATTTTAGGCTTATAAAACTCATTTTGGTTTCCTGGACATCAAAATAAGAATGGGAGTCTATATGAAACACATTTAATTAACAAAATCTAGCTATTTCTCTTTTTATGAAATTTATTTAATGCAGCTTTAAGCCAAAAGGAGAGTACCGGTAAACAAGTACATATCAAAGATCTCTTTTTTAAAAACATTATTAGTTTCATGACAGTATCGCAAGGTGCACGTCAAATTACGTACATTTAGTCCTATACAAAAATAATATGTTTGGTTACGTTTTGAAGTTGTTTAAATTATCTTTCAGAAAAGAAATATCTGTACTCTAAGTGAGAGAAAGAGTTAAGATATAAAAGAAATCTTTTGTATGCCCAGAGACATATAGATAACATGTTATCTATGTGTCTGGTATGCCTCGGAAAGGGTTGCATGCGATAGTTGTAAAGTCAAAGGAAATAATTTTAGCCTCTTTTTTTGTAAAGAGTTACAGACACTTGTTGATGAATATTGTTTAAACATGCTTTTTTCATATCCAAGAAAAGCTACGTTCAGTTTACTTGAAGAATGATTTCCTCAAAATGGAAACTTTTTTTTTTTTGAAATTGCCATAATAAACTATTGCAGTGATTTTTCTCACTTAATTCATTGTGTTAATTCGGAAAAGGCCATGGTCTCTTCATTTTGGGAAAAATTATAGCTAAAATTGCTAATTTGGGAAGTAAAAAAACTGGTGTAAGTTCAGATTTTTTTGGGAAAACTGCATAATTTTAAAGTCAATCAATCGGTAGGAGGCCTTTTATAGGCCCCTATTATATGTGGAAAAATCACTGTATAATATTGATAGTGTTTGATAAAATTTGAAGTACTAAAATAACATTGTATCGGTAAATGTTACGCACATAACTTGACGTTAACATTGTATGATTATTATCATTGTAAGCACTTTTGCCATCAGTCAGATTTTGTTCTTTGTGTAGAACAATTTTGATATCGTAACATTTAACTTGGAACTTTTGTCTTGTAAACCTTATAGTACTGTCATTTAGTTGCGTTACTTAATTTAGCATTTACATAACAAGAGGCCCAAAATAGGTGGAAATAAAAATGTCTTAAAACGATTTACAATAACATCGGCAATAGAAACACCGACATAAGACTAGGATTGTGGTCCATAAGGCACTGACGCGCCCATTTTCCACATTTGATAGCAAACATATCTTTATTTAAAAATTCGGTTACATTTTATGATTATTTCTGTCAAAGAACTGTCAAATGACTGCCGAGTCCGTTAGATACTTGACTTGTTTGGCATATGTTTATCATGTTCTAAATTTTAATTTTCGTTCTTTATTCTAAATCTTAAAATGCAACAACAATTTTGTCGAGGACCTCTCCTGCTCATGCCGTGCGCAATGATACATGCATTTACAGCCAATGGCCACATCGATAAGAAATCGCTTTTTATTCAATTGAAAGAGAGGCATTATTGTTAAAAAAATTCTACTCAATTTAAATATTTTCCAGACATAAAGTCAGGGATAAAATATTCCGTTCTTCCTCTCATTTCAATATGTACCAGTAAGCTGTCTAATTAAGGTAGTGTTACTGAATTTGTCAGATATGCAGTGTATCAACAGAAATAAATGTAATAACAAAATAAATAGCGTATAGTGTTCTGAAGGATCCAGTGCACGATAAACGGTTACCTTGGGTATGAAAAATAGGATGTAAACAACGAGTGTCACTGTTAAAAGTGTCACTGTGTTAAAAAGCTGAATCTATCATACTAAGACATTGCTACCGGTTTTGTTTCCCTATATAGTATACTGTGGTTATACGTTTAATTTAAGTAACTATTTACAAAAAAAAAAAGACTAAAAGAACAACCTTTGGCTTTATGGCGTAACCCTCTTCACAGCAAACAAATGGAAGTGTTCCTGAATGTGCATGTGTATGGGTTCTTCGATTTCTTCTATATTTAGTCTTTCTTGTAATAAGAACACTTATCTCCTTGATTTCACCCAATCTGAATAAAACTCATTTTACTGCAATTGGTATGAAGACGTGGTTATTGGGAGCGTGGACGGTAGCTTGCATTTTTCAGTACATAAACAGGCTCAGTCAAACTGAGTCTGCAACATTTTCAATTTTGCCGTAGGAATTCTGTTTTTCTTTCTTATTTAAAAGTCCACGATTGATATTGCTTTATAACTAATAGGTTTTTTTTCCACAATAAAAGAGCAACTTAATTTCTTCACAAATACAGAGAGCAATTTTTACTTCCGAAATCAATTAAAGCACGTGCGTAAATTTATTTGTGAATGCATTTTTGAATATACATCATCATGTACATCGTAAAGTAAATAAAAACGTTTTTCATGGTTAAGAGAACGGAAGGCATTTTGCTTCGCATTTGCAACCAATTCTGAAATTTACTTTAAACTGTAGTTCGAATTTTTCGACATGGAACTGGTGCCAGAATTGACAATTGAAGAAAAATGTTACAAGAATTACACGTTTCTGCCATCATCGGCAGCAGCAATTTGTCTTTATGCGGCTGGAAATATTTTCAAGAAAAGACAGACTAGGTGAGTATTTGAATAGTGATGACTGTCTCCCTTCATTTATTTAAAACTTGTGATATTTTGACATCAACAGCTCTTAGTATTTCATTAAATTGAAAAACGGAAAATTACCTGATATTATCCACATAGATTATCAGATTATAAAACAGTACTTTTCATTGGCCTATGTAGAAGCACGTGAATTTCGTGCAAATCGAGCATGAGTTATGTTACACCTATCATTAAGACGATTCCGATACTGATTCATAACAGTAATATATCTTAATAGGTCTGCAAATATATACTGGGATCCTTCTTATTACCGGTTTTTTCGCTGTAACTTTTATTTAAACCCATTTAAAATAATGGAATTTTACCTAATTAATTTTGGCAGAGACTTTTACAAATATAACTCTGTGATTTTGGGTTCTTAATACACGTAAAAGTTACTTTATCAAACACGAAATTTAACATTTTGACCATAAAAATTGTCATTATCAGAGAAAGACAACTCAATTTACCCACGGATGTAATTTACCGGACGGTACCGACGTTTTCTGAGGACCGAAAAGTTGCGATTGGGATGTGCGAGTGAAAAAAAACCACAGACCCTGAAAATGGAGTTGGGAAGCTGCCTTATTGCAAACCAGAAGCTTATCAAATCATCAAAAGAAGTTTTTACTTTTGCAGAGAAAATTTCTGCGCAATGTAATTTTTTGACGAGTGATGTAAGTATCATTGTGTTATGTTCAATGTAGTCAATGTTTCGGCTAAAAAGAATTTCGGATAAATAAATTATCCATTGATCAATATCATTTAGCTTGGATAAGTATGCTATACATTTTAATTGGTATGTCAAGTTATAATACTTGCACTTTTGTGTTCATTCTGCTACAAAAGTATTTACATAAGTAGGACCCTGTAGCAAATTTTATAATAATAGCCTCGGGTGCCCTTATTCCGTGGGAGTCCTGGTTCCGGTGATTTTTGTTTACTTCCTGTCTCGCGCGAAATCGATGACGTCATACGTCAAGTGCTCGATAAAATTTTGTGTATTGCAGAATGCAAACAGCAAATAGAAAAATCAGCTCAAAAAATGCGAACAAAGCAGGTAAAGAAGGGTCATAACATTTCATCTTGATGTAAATTTGTATTTTTTACTATTTCCAATTCATTGCTTTCAAAAACTGCCTATTTTTTGCTTCAAAAACATCATTTGAAAATTTGACAGCTGATTTATGTTTGTAAACAAACCTCCATTGACATTTTCCCATCGTGCAATTTTCAGTAAGTTAGGGCTAAGCACATTTTTCATGAGTGGTTTTCAGACCTATTTCTTATGTGATTTTTTTATCATTTGTTTTTATCTCAAAATTGCTTTTCAGCAAAATCCAAAAAAATTCGCCGTAAAAAACAGGCTTTACTCCCCTACAGCATTGACCAAATGCCTATATGCATATAAAGGAGCATGGCACATCAGTTAGAAAAAGCCTCAAAACTCTATGGTGTCCCAGAGAGTACCCTTAGGGACAGAACTTAGGGTTAGTTCATATTGATACTCTGTCTGCTGGTGGACAACCCTTGTTTGACGAGTATGAAGAGGCTAATCTTGTCAGCCATTTCAAAACTATGGCAGGATATGGCCATGGGTACACAAGACAAGAGTGTGTTGACATTGCCACTGATTATGCTGTCCAATTAGGTCGACGAACTCAGGATAGACCACTCACGATGAAATGGATGAGAGGGTTTTTAAAGAGGTGGCCAAATTAAAGGTTGTTAAACAAAAGTAGGTATTTTTTTGTTTTATATTGAAATAATTCACAATCTAAATAATTAAATATATTCAAGTACAGTAGACCTATATATCATAATATGCTTTTTAATGTATTATTTCATAACTTGTATTCAATCAATTGATATTCTTAATCATATTATTATTCTCCATTATAGGGTCTAGAACACGCCCGAGCAAAAATGGCATCACGTGATACAGTGATGAAATACTTCATCAACTTAAAAGAAACAATTGAAAACCACAACATTGAACCCATTTGATTTTCAACATTGATGAAAAGGCAGTCAAAGTTGAGCATAAGCCTCCTCATGTAGTTCAAGTTCTAGTTACATCCCCTCTGCTGTTACCTCTGGCAAGGGACAGATTGTAACTTTGATTGGTGCTGGAAGTGCAGCTGGACAAGCTATCCCCCCTTATCTTGTGTTTCCCGGACAGCGCATGAGTCTGAGCTTATGATTGGAGCATCGCCAGCGTTAATTATTTAATTAAAAAAAGTTAATTATTTAACAAATATCTTAATACTGATATTTTTAGCTTATTTGGTAGATTTTTTTCACAGTTAAAAATATTATATTGGCATAGTTAAATCAAACTATTTTTACATTTCAGGTGCTGATGGAACAGTTAATGAAACCGGCTGGTCTAATGGCAGCATTTTTAGATATTATTTAGAACATCACTTTCTTAAATTTGTTCCTGGACGCAATGATAAGAAAATCCTTGTGATCCTAGATGGCATAAGTCTCATGTGTCTGTAGGTCTCTCTGAATGGGCACATAAATTAGGAATTGTTATCTTCATATTGCCACCCCATTTAGCCACATTCTTCAGCCCATGGATGTAGGATGTTTTGGCCCTTTCAGAAAATATATGATATAAAATGTCACAAGCTGATTAGGGAAGTTTCATCAGTAATTACCAGATACAATATTTGCCAAGTATCTTGTTCATCCTAATCTAGCTGCCCTTACCCAAATAATGTCCAGGCTGCATTCCGCCGTGCAGGCATTTACCCATTGATCCCTTGGCCATCGCACAGGAGAAACTTCTACCTGCAGAGGTGTTCAGATCATGTTCTCTCTGACACTGATGTCAGTGATGAATAAGCCAGGCAAAACAGTGATAGGTGGGGGTCCAGTCAGAATTAAATGAAATGTCTCGGGACATTGTAAATTTCTTGCACCAGAAAGAGGCTAGTCTTAAAAGGGTAAAAAATGAAAACAAAAACAAAACCAAGAAATACCATGAGTAAAATTGTTGCGGGTAAGGAAATCAATGAGTCTGTACTGAAACAAATGACTGAGCATGTTCAAAAACAAGGAAAATCTAAACCAGTCAAAATCTAAGGTTAAGCAGAGTAAACAGCAAAAGAAGACCCCACCATCACCACAACCTGGGCCATCATGTATAAATCTTGTTTTGAAAATGTGTCAGATACTGACAGTGAAATTGAAATTGATGAGTTTGGAACTTTGTTGTTTAAATGCAAAAATTTACCCCAGTTGAACTTGTTGAACCGCAATTTTGTAAAAGTTTACAACATGGGGGAGAGTGGGGGCAGTTGAGTCTTGTGGCCACTGGGTGCATTTGATTATATTGTACTTCTGAAAGAGTCTTAAGGCGTTGGAGATCACTTTGTTTGCCATGTTGCAAGGAGGAAAGAGTGAATTTGCATCCTTGCATATTTGTGACTTGATACTATAAAACAAAGATGTAAATAAACTAAATTTGGAAATTTACTTCCTTGAGAATATGTGCAATGATAACTGATTAAAACTGTGAAAAATTTATGTTTTGAATAGAATTACTATGTAATAAAACATATGTAAGCCTGTAGAACCCAATATAAAAATTGAAGTGGCCTAATTGTTGTTTTATTCGAAGTTACCCCCTTGATTAGCATGTGTATGACGTCACCGGAGCCGGGAAACAATCAGGGCCGGGCACCATGTTTTTACAGAAGAAATTTTTTGAAGGTGGTTAAACTTTTGAAAAAAAATCATGAACTACTTATGCTATTTTAATAAAAACCAAGGCATTTTGAAGGTAAGTTATTTGTTTTTATTTGGCAAATGTTACAACTGTTTTTTTCATTCTTAAAGTTGGTTTTATTCTCAATCCTGTCCTTATATCACCGGAACATGGGCACTCGAGGCTACAGTATACTAGTGAGAGGGAATTTGGAGGAAACGTACCACTGCATACTGGTTGGGGACCACCAAAACCGGACAACCACCAAACCCGGACGGCCCCGAAAATGCTTAATTTAGTATTTTCTTTGTTCAGTGGTTGTCAGTCACTGTTTGTTTTAACAATAAATGCACGTTTCTTTTATAATTTAGTAAATAAATTTATTTCAACCTCCGTAAATAGTAATATTTTTAATGTCTATTTTAAGAATGTTGCCGTTGAAGTTTGGCATCAAGAAAAGAAATGCCTGATCTCATATACCAGCTATAATCATTTGCAAAGTAAACAATAGAATTTCCAAAACTTCAGCATTTGTTGCTGAATATTGTATATCATGTTAAAACTTAAAAATTAAAAACATCCAAGCTTTTATATGAATTAAATCACGCCATGTACATATCTGTCCGGACACATGGTACTATAGTGTATGACAATTTAGGTAATTTGGATACCCTCCTTGACGAGCCTCAGAATATAAGTGAAATACAATCAGAAATAAACAAACTTTAGTTTGTTAGTTAGGAGAAGAACCTAGCTGTATGTGTCAAATTTTAGGCTCTCTGAGTTGGAAAGTATGAAATCTGTATGGAAAAATGTTCAAAAAAAGTGTCCGGTTGATGGTCCCCGACCAGTAAATGTATCATTTTTGGAGGTTACGTACCACTTCTATAAAAATAATTAATAAGTGATAATAAGGGATAAAAGGTGTGAAAATATCCGGTAAACTTTTTATTGTTCAAATTGACGCAATAATTCTATTGTATTTTATTAAATAAAATATATACGGCAGGGCACTAGACAACTTTTGGGGACTGGTACCCATACCCTCACTTGCGTCATTTTAAGACAAAAGGGGAAATTTTAAGCCATATATGAGTTCTTTAAATTTAGGTTTTACATTAACTCTTGGCACAATTTCCTACCATTACTTACAATAGCTAGTATATTTATTACTATAGACCTAACAAATAAAACATATAACAGGAAGTTTTTCTTGAGATAGGCTATCTCATTATTTTCTTTATTGCTTTGTTATTGCACTTGACTGACTCAGACATCAATCAGAGCTCCAGATATATGTTTTGGCCAAGGGTTTTATACCCCTCAAATTCTAAAGTGAGGGGTTAAAATGCAAATTCTGAAAAAAATGTTAGGGTTATATTAAAATCTATAGCAAGCATAATGCATTTTTGTTTATGATAAAAAATTAAAACTGACAGTTAAAAAAAAAACTTGTACAACAAAAATTGAATCAGTGCAACAAGCTCTGGAAATGCAGACTTTCCTAGGCAAGGGTATGTTATACCCAAGTGCTGGAAACACCAGGAAAATTATTTCCTATTATAGTCATTAATTGTTTCTTTATTTTTAAAGTTAAAAATGTATCACACTATTTTGCAATCTGCACTGGTCAGTTCTTAATCTATTTTCTACATATTTCTGCCTGTTCTTTAGATTGAAACAATTATAACAATGAGAATTGAAATAAGAATTAAATAAAAATAACAAGAAAGTTTTATGCCTTTTCTAAAAAAGGGTTTGGTTTCAGAGAAAATTGTCTGTAACTGTAAAACTGGGTACGAAAATATTTGAGTACAAAACTGCAAGAGAAATACGTTTTTTCCAACATCAACTGACAGAAATTAAAATAGTTTTGTTTATTAACTAGCAAAATATGACAATGTATGTCTATTCTCTAAACAAATTGAATATAAGGTAAACTCCTACGATGATTATCTGCCACATTAATTTTGTCAATAATTTTACGAGAGTTACCTCCCTTCTACATTTCTCACTTCCTGCTACTTTCGGTTTTAACATACAGCGTTGTTGACAACTGTAATTTAGTTTTCAATCCATTGAAAGTTAAACAGAAATATATTTTATTTTTATGAAATGAAAACATCACTTTTTTTGTTAAATATCAAACATTTATTCTACAATTTTTTTTAGGGGAATTTTCTGCTGAAATAGGGGAAAAAAGCATATGATTTTGAGAGGGGAATGGGGCCGATATTCGGCCCCAAAAATGGCCAAACGAGTGCCCTGATACGTTATAAGTAGAATAAACATCAAACGACAATTAACCATAATAAACACGTTTCCTCCGTGGTAAGTAACCTCCAGAAAGAATTGTATGGATTCTTGATTAGGAAGCTTTAACCCATGGGGTTTTAGCAAAGCTATTAACACATGTCTCGTGTTACATGCCGTCAGGCATTTGGAAACAATTTCCTTTAACTCTCATACATGTAACAATGATTAGAAATGTATGAAACTGACAATGATTTAGTACCAAAGCATTTTACAGTCAATGACTGACAAGTGTTGTTTATTTTTCAGTAGCAAACACTGAATCATTGAAAAAATCAGAAAATAGACTCTAATTAGACTTCTAATCTATTTTAAACTTGCAAAAAGTGAAACTTTAAGTCAAACTTTATCATAGATTTTCTAGCATACTGTTTGTTTGTTTGTTTGTTTTATTGGGTTTTACGTCACACCAACACAGTATAGGTCATCTGCTACAAAAGTATTTACATAAGTAGGACCCTGTAGCAAATTTTATAATAATACAGTATACTAGTGAGAGGGAATTTGGAGGAAACGTACCACTGCATACTGGTTGGGGACCACCAAAACCGGACAACCACCAAACCCGGACGGCCCCGAAAATGCTTAATTTAGTATTTTCTTTGTTCAGTGGTAGTCAGTCACTTTTTGTTTAAACAATAAATGCACGTTTCTTTTATAATTTAGTAAATAAATTTATTTCAACCTCCGTAAATAGTAATATTTTAATGTCTATTTTAAGAATGTTGCCGTTGAAGTTTGGGCATCAAGAAAGAAATGCCTGATCTCATATACCAGCTATAATCATTTGCAAAGTAAACAATAGAATTTCCAAAACTTCAGCATTTGTTGCTGATATATTGTATATCATGTTAAAACTTAAAAATTAAAACATCCAAGCTTTTATATGAATTAAATCACGCCATGTACACACATGTATCTGTCCGGACACATGGTACTATAGTGTAGACAATTTAGGTAATTTGGATACCCTCCTTGACGAGCCTCAGATATAAGTGAAATACAATCAGAAATAAACAAACTAGTTTGTTAGTTAGGAGAAGAACCTAGCTGTACTGTGTCAAATTTTTAGGTCTCTGAGTTGGAAAGTATGAAATCTGTATGGAAAAATGTTCAAAAAGTGTCCGGTTGATGGTCCCCGACCAGTAAATGTATCATTTTTGGAGGTTACGTACCACTTCTATAAAAATAATTAATAAGTGATAATAAGGGATAAAAGGTGTGAAAATATCCGGTAAACTTTTTATTGTTCAAATTGACGCAATAATTCTATTGTATTTTATTAAATAAAATATATACGTTATAAGTAGAATAAACATCAAACGACAATTAACCATAATAAACACGTTTCCTCCGTGGTAAGTAACCTCCAGAAAGAATTGTATGGATTCTTGATTAGGAAGCTTTAACCCATGGGGTTTTAGCAAAGCTATTAACACATGTCTCGTGTTACATGCCGTCAGGCATTTGGAAACAATTTCCTTTAACTCTCATACATGTAACAATGATTAGAAATGTATGAAACTGACAATGATTTAGTACCAAAGCATTTTACAGTCAATGACTGACAAGTGTTGTTTATTTTTCAGTAGCAAACACTGAATCATTGAAAAAATCAGAAAATAGACTCTAATTTGACTTCTAATCTATTTTAAACTTGCAAAAAGTGAAACTTTAAGTCAAACTTTATCACAGAATTTCTAGCATACTGTTTGTTTGTTTGTTTGTTTGTTTGTTTGTTTTATTGGGTTTTACGTCACACCAACACAGTATAGGTCATATTGCGACATTCCGGCTTTACTGGTGGAGGAAGACCTCAGGTACCCTTCGTGCATTAGTTCAGGCACAAATGGGCACCTGAGTAGAACCACCGAAGTTCTGTAAGCTAGCTGGATAGCTTCCTCACATGACCAGCATACTGTAACTATCAAACATTTCAATGAAAATGTTTGCTGATATTGGACACTATTCAAGTTAAGGGTTTAAACTTTAAAGAATATGTTTTGTTTGCTATAAGATTGAAATAATTCAATTGTTTATTGATGTAAATAACACTAATTATGTAAACAAAATAGACATTTGTTTTATGAAACATATTTGATTTAGAATCATCAATGTAAATGGACATGAAATAATTGATTACATAAAATATTTTTCTTTGCCTTCTTACACTGACATAAACCCTACTTATTCTTGTACAAAACAATCTAAGCAAAATATAAAGAACAACCTTGTTAACAAAGTCTAATATCCTAGGCATAATAAACTAAGCAATATACAAATATACATGTATATATATTCTCTTTATTAGGCAAAGTAGAGAGGTATATTCACTAACAGAAATAAATAAAATTTAGCTTGTATCCATATTTGAAAGTGTGTATCAATATTGTACCAGATAATGAATATCGATGATATAGCGATATTGGGATATTCAATGACAGCCCTAATTAAAGTTTTTTACTTCTGCTCTGTCAAAAGGTCATACATTTTAGATATATGTTAGTTCTATGGAATTTAATTTTTTAATAAAAGTTGGTTATTACATAAATGGAAAACTGGCAGATCTATATTTATTTAGCTCATAATTATTGCTTACATCTTCTCCCTTTCCCTATAATATTCCAAGCAGAGCCAATTGCCAAGCAATTTTTTTTATGAAATATGCCTTCAGAAATTCCAGACTGGAATGCTGCCCCTACACATTTCCTCCACATGTGCTTGGAATTCTGTATTGTCAATGACAACAGCACTGGACTGAAGGCTTTTTCTGGTTTTACTTGCCTTCTTACACACAGAATAATGCATTTTCGTTCAATCAAAATTATTGTAAGTCAAACTCTGACTGCTAACTGCCAGTGACATTGCCAAATTTTACCCTCTTTGGTTAGTAGCTAGGTGTATTGGTGAACTCTTAGGCAGAGTCATTCTCCTGACTTTTCATTGACACAGGCAATGAGTTCTTACTTGAGGCTATAAGCAACAAAACAGATTTAACAAACCCAGATCTTTTGATCAGTTTATATATACATTATAACCCAAAATTTTTATATCTGAAATTACAAATTTTCATTTCAAAATGCTGACTGATATTTTTTATTTCACATGACATTTGGATTGATCAAAACTGATTAAAGTTAAATTATATGAAAATCAAAGTGACATTTTAGGGGATAATATTGGCATTTTTAGGGGAAAATATACTTATTTTAGCTAGGGGAAACAGTCTTTATTCGGCTGTAAAATACACACAAAGAATCACTGATCATAGTGACAAATCTTAATATGATTCCCAGAAACTCAAAATCCTTTTTTGGCTGTAATTATTAATATTCAACATTTTTTTCTTACAATATGATGCATTGAACCTCAAGGTGTGGCTATGATTGAGAATAGGACTGAGCTAGAGACAATATTTCGGCCACAGATACCGTGGTTTAAACCGTCTCAAACAAGTTATAGACAGCAAGAACAAAACATTCATTAATAAGCATTTGACAGTTTTGATGATTTTTATTGTACATGGATGTATCCCTTACCTGCAATTTTTATGCATGCATGTAGAATATTGGGGTGACTCAGCTTCTTATTTAGAGAATAAATGAGCATGCTAATCTGCATCCAATTTTTAACTTTCCAACAAGTAAAAATGTTAACTTTCAGTTATCAGGTAAAAGTAAGTTGTTTTTTTTACAGACTGTCCGTACTGTAAATGATAAGAAGACACACTATCTTACATAAAAGAATGCATAATTTATACTGTAAATTGACGGTTTTATGTTACTTACAGGTTTGGCCAGAATATTCAGGAGTAGTATGTTGATTTTCTTTTGCAATTTCACAAGGGTCACATACTGGTCAACAAGGTTTAAATTTTCAAAAAAGGATTTGGGTCACCAAAGCTAAAAATAGATTTTACAACTAAATTATGCTGGAATTTGTTCAAGAGATGATTGAAAACATTTAATATGTAACTGATGAACGTGAGTGGTAAAAAATGATGGCCCTCATTATGTAACATACATGTACCTCTTGTTTTATTTTCATTGCAGTTGATTCTAGCAGCTGTGTGGCATTGCTTGAATCAAACAACAGAAACTTCTGCTGGCTCTAATACAACAAGTGTATCTGGAAGTGAAGAAAACAAAACTGACAAGCAAAATGGAAACAAAACTGGAGGAGAAAGTCCTGTCATTGTTGATGAAACTAATACTGAGGCAATCACACATAATGAAAATGGCAATGATATTAAAAAGCAGAAGGCTAGCCAGTCAGACAGCAATTGTATGAGTACATCACAAAATAGCCATTCTAAACATCCAATGAATTCATCAGTGTTAGACAAGTTAGATACAGGAAGTTGCCAAACTATCAGCAAGGACGAAGCTGGTAATGTTATAGAAACTGAAATCATTTCTGTAAAGACAAAGACAGATATTGTAAAAGTACCCGACAAGAATACAGGATTGCACACAAATAACAAAGCCAGCGTTAAAGAAACAAACAGTCAAGCCAGTACTTCAGCTGAAAACAATGAAATTAACAAATGTAAAGGTCAAAGTATATCTGGTCAAAAAAATCCAACATCTGAATTTAAGGTTTCTTTAATGGACAATGGATCAAGCAAGACTGTAAAATCACAAGCTGTAGCTGAGAAAAAGAAGGAAAGAATAGAAGATGTTGAAGTAATAAGTATTGATGATGATGATTCAAATGATGTTGGTGAGACAAACATAACAAAGGATGCAAACAATACTGATGTGATTGAAGAGAAAGTAGAAGAGAAAGTAGAAGAGAAAGAGCCAGATTATTTTGATATGGACTGTGATGAGATAGAAGATGAGGATGATTATTATGATGAGGAATATGAAGAGATATCAAATATTACATATGATGCAGGCAAAGCAGTTAAAGCTGAAAGTGATTTCAACTCAAGTAATATCCAGAAAGATGAAGATGTAACAATCATAAGTGATGATGAAGATGTTTGTGAAATAGAATTTAACAATACCAACCAAAGTTCGGAGCAAATTTGTAACAGTAAAAATGTAAATATTAATACTTCAGGCAGTGAAAATTTGACTGGAAGTGTAGGGACCAAGTCAAAAAGAAAACAGTCCTTCTCAAATATAAAGGAAGATTCTACTATTAATTCTGGGGAGAAATCTACATTGAAAAGTCCAGTAGATGGGTTGAATGAAAAAGGTTCTCCTCCAAGGTTGCGTTGTCCCACAATGGAACATTTAGATGGTATGTCAAGTCCCACATTGTCGGTTCAAGATGAGGAAAAATTATCATCCTCTTGTGTTATTGTGTCGGATAAACATTCTTCTGATTCTGCAATGGATGTATTAGGACTAGTACCAGTAAAAGATCAACAAAAGACTGTTGAAAAAACTGTAATTGCTGCAGATAAGTCTACAACAAATCAAACTTTTGGATCAGTTTCTTCCAGTCCGTCAGTATATGTCTCGTCAGACACTGTGAAGGGCTCTCTTTCCTCATTACCGAATATTCAGAATTTACCGCACGTTTCTACAGATGTTGAAAATGTGTCTTCTTCTACAGAGACTTCCCAGCGAGAACAACAATCGCTGCAGACTCAGAAATCAAGTACTAATCAGTCTCTGGCTTCAACAAGCAAGGTAAGTTGATATAGCTAATGTCTTAGAAATGTTCTGTTTATACTGATAAGACTTACTGGATTACAGGCCCTAATGGGCGTGTATGCTAGCTTTGTCTCAGGACAACAAAAATTTACTGAAAAAAGGCTAGAGTGTGGTGATGAGTTCATTATGATATTAGTTGATATTTACCAATTCATTGGAGATTGTAATCCTTACAAAGTCTTGACATATTTTTGATAGGCTAAATAACACTTAGAAGGTTGACAGCTGGAGAAGTGAGGTATTGTAAACAATCATTTGCATGCATTGGACTTTCAAAAGATATTTTCACTTTCCTGTTGGGTGAAATTCTATCAAATTTAACAGAAAAGGAAGCCTGTGAAAGACTATGTTCATTTTGACTTAAAATTATAATAAGTCAGTGTTCTTTGTTAGACTTTAACATATATTATTTCTGAAGAATACTTTATTTCATTTCTTGAATTAAAATGCAACAGTAAATTTAAATTTCAAGTTCAAATTGAAATCTTTATTATAATTGTCAAAGTAGTGGCAGATATATAGTTTATTTTGTAATGGTAGACTTAGTTTAGTTTATACAAATATACATATATTTTAGTTTGATTGTGTTGGAAGTTATAAGCTTATTGAATTACTCTCGAATCGTTCCTGGAATTAACAAGTACTAAGCAATGAATGTAAAGTTTCTTGCTCAAGGAAACAACAGCTTTGACAGGGTTTGAACCCACGCGGTCAGCAATCCTTAAGATTACTAGTCTGACGCGTTAACCACAGTCACTCGGCCACGCCTATAGACTTGATATCAACGGTATGTAACATCGGTATTTACCGTAAAGAGTATTGATTTAATAAGTATGTGTGTTTGAATTAGGAATGCAATTACATTTTGTTATTTTCAGTCACCAGATGTGTGTGGGAGCCCACCAAGAAAAAAGAAACGACTTTTGGATCATGACAAGAAGTGGCATATGGAGCCAAAATTTAGTCCAGAACAAGACAAGGTAATTTTAGTCCTTACCGATTATTGTGCCCATCCTCCTCCCTAAAAAAATCTGCCTCAAGAAGAAGACACTTTACAATATCAATTGAAAATTGCTTTATTTTTCACAAGGAAATATGTGATAGTTAACATAATGAGTATTGTTGTTGTCAGACAATTTTTTTTTCTTCAAAACAATACAAATTCCCTACATGAAGGCCCTGACCTTGTCCCCAATGAGGTAATAAGGGCACTGAGTCAATATATGTGACAATTATATTGAGGCATCAATATTGGATATCTTCTACACAGAAGACATTAGGCTGTCATTTTGGGATCAAAAACAGTTTTTTGTATTTTTATGAAGATAAATTTAATGATATAGATGAATGATTGCATGATTTGTACAAATTTAACATAGAGATCTTTTATATATTACATTTGCTTATTGTGAAGAAACCCACATATAGTGATAAAAATGTAAATGTTTCTGATGTTAATTTGAATGATATTTTCCAATCCTTGTTAAGTTGTGCCGTGACTTTAATGAATATCTATCTACTGTATATTTGAACTTTGCACACAACAAAAATGCTGGTGTTATGGTATGGAATGTTTCTTACAGCATAGACTTTTGTCAGTCAGTGTTTTAAGTCACATAATTTGACATAAAGACTAGCAGTACATATTGAGGTGCCCCACCATGCATTATTTTAAGCTAGAGCTGGCAACTAAGTAAAAACTACTGATGGTGACCTTCCATAAGCTAGTTAGATAGCTATCTATCATGAAAGAATCCAAAGTCCATCTTGGAATTCATACTGACAGCAGTTAAGGGCAAATGTTTTGAAATTGGCTGCCTTAACCACTCAGCTATTGACAAGTCCTAGTAATAATATCATGAAGATACAGATAAAGAATTGTGTTTTGACTCAGAACCCAAACTGTCCTTAATAAAAGAGTTTCTCTGTAATATTGTGATTTGTATAATATTAAACTGGTTAACAATTTAGTGAAAGTCTTCATGTATTATTCTTTCATGTGAGCTTATGGCAACTCAGTGGTTCTACTAACATGAAAGCCTTCGCTTAAAATAGTGCAGGGCAATGCATATTTGTTGATAAGATATCAAAGGTGGTTGTTCATTTTAAAATACAGATGATATGTTACTATGATTTTAAGATTATCTTTGTATGTATTTCAGTATCTCGCATTGCCAGGTGGTGTGGAAGGCAACAGCATTTTGACTGGATGGGGTCAGCCTGGAAGTTATTCCGATGATAGTCAAGCCTCAAATGAACCCAGTATAGGAATTGAAAAAGTTGACAGTGATTATATGAACTATCAAAGTATAAGTGAGGATCATTACCTTGCTGATCGTGGTGATAAAAATGATAATGACAATGATGATGATGATGATAATACAAAAAGTGGTTCAGAAGATAAAGAGTTGAGCAGAAAAAAGGCCAGTATTTCAGGTAAAAGGGGTAGAGGACGACCACGTGGACCTAGATCAAAAAGTAACGTTTCATCTAGAGCTAAGGACAAGGGTCAGAAGAATAGGAATTACGAAAGTTACCTTACTGATGACAATGATGACTATATTGATAAAGATGATGATGATGATGATTTATGGAGTGGTAGTGAGGATGAAGGGTCCAGAAGGAAAAAAGGCAGTGTTACAGGTAAGAGGGGCAGAGGGCGCTCAAAAGGACATAAATCTTTGATGATGGAGAGGGGCAAGGGTCAAGTTAGAGGGAAAAGAGGGAGGCCAGTTTTGAGGACTAGAGGAATAAATCGTCATGGTGCTGCTGTTAAATTGAAAACAGATAAAAAAGATGTCAGTCCATCAAAGTTTAGTTCTTTAAGAGGACGTAAAATAGGATTTTATTCTATAAAAACAGGAAAACCAAAGCATACAAGTGACTCTGCAGGGACTACTTGTGCAGTGAAAGATGTTAAAAGAGGGCCAGGAAGACCAAAAAAGCATGCTGTTCAGGGGTGTACTTTACCAAAAAAACTTGCCGTTAAAGGAAGAGGAAGACCAAAACTGCATAAGATTATAGGAACACAAGACAGAGATAAATCCAGTATTACATTGTCTGGTAATCAAACCAGTAAACAAGGAGAGAATAGTAAAAGTAGTGCAAAAAATAATAAACGTGGGCGTGGAAGACGAAGTCAAAGTTTGGAATCTGCAGAAAAAGAAGATCAAGACAGTGATGTGATTATAATTGATTGACAGTATTTATTTAAGAAACTTTACATGGCTAATGGGTTTATATTTTAATAATGAATCAAATTTCTACACAGTTTTGTGATAATTAATTAAATTAAAGAAATATTTGATAAAAAGAATTGTTAAGAAAGCAAAATTTCTTTTCTGGTTTGAGAGAGTTTTGTCTCATGTTCCAGGACTTAATTCAGATTATTGCAAAATTTCATAAGTCTACTATGGTAATTAATTATTAAACATTTCATATCAATTTAGACTAGAGCCTTGAGATGACATAAAATGATGAAACTTTTGTAGTTTCTGAATAAAGTTTAAGAAATCTGCTTTAGATTCAGATTTTGATTGATTCTAGCCTTGGTCAGGATCTTAAAATTTATCTCTATATTGAATTATGTACCAATTATTTTTCATGTCAAGTGTTATCATAAATATCATCTCAAATAGAGTTGAAAGTGGTAGAAGACGACTATCAGAATTATTCATAAGTTCTTTATGAACACATGATTATCGTCTTCTTAATGAATTTTTATTGTTATACAGTTGATCTTAATGCCAGGTTAAGCTAAATTGTAATACTCACTTTTTGAACTATTTCATGTTGCTTTTTTTGTTTGTTTTTAATTATCAATAAGCAATATTCACTGTAGTACAGCTGTGTTGTGAACATTTCAGATTACTTTGTTATCTTGTAATTTGCAATAATAACATGCAGGACATGTCCCTATAGTGATGTGTACTAACTTAAATGTACATGTATGATAACTACCTGTACGATATTACCTAGTCTTAACCCGACTGTTCAGCACAATGTGCTGAGAGGAGAGTGTTTGTGATGGTCGTGTGTCTGTCATTTGTCGTTGCCCACAATTTCTTTAAACAACAACTCCTAAACTACTTGATGGATTATGACCAAACTTCATATGATTGATCCTTCGGTGGTCTGATACAAAAGTTTTAAATGGTTCCAATCAGATGCATAGCTAGAAAACTAAAATACATGTATCAAATTATATCTTCTTTCGTGTGACTGCAATACCTAGAGTTTAGATATTTGTCATGTATCATTGCCTTGTGGACATCTACAAAACTTATTTAAGGTATGCCCCTTGGGTCAGAATTCGACTGCCATTTATTGGTTATCACTTAGTTTATATGGACATGTATAGTACGGATGTCTTAAAAATCTTCTCTGAAAGTATAATGCTAAGAGCTTAAATATTTTCCCTGAAGAATCACATTGTGGTCCCCTAGAAAGTTATATGTATTATGCCCCTTGGTTAAAAAATGGCAATGACTTCATCTAGACTTGTGTTAATCCTTTTATCATAAAAAGAGTTAAATGGTTTAGAAGTAAAAGTAGTGAACCTGGTGAAATTATTCATTAGCATGCCAACTATATGACCACTTAAGCGCCTTATTGTTTTTGAAAGAACAATGCCAAGAATTTCGATATTTTGCATGTAGCATCACCTTTTGGTCCTCCGCAAAAGTTAATATCATGACTCTGGGATCAAAATTTACCCCCACCCCGGAGGTCATTTATCTTACATTGTCATATTGTTTAGGAAAAAACATTTATTTGTCTTTTGTGAAACTGCAATCCATAGAATTTAGATAATTGTCATGAAGCATTGATAGTAGCAGACATGCGCAAATATTTTTAAAATTATGTGGCTTTGGTAAAAAATGAAGAAAAAAAACACAGTGAGATCATTACAGAAATTGTGAACTTTTCTAGCAATACTTCTCAGGTGAGCTATCCAGGGCCATCATGACCCTCTTGTTTATGTTCTGTTGTTATATGTTGTATGGTATTTCTGCTTTGTATTGTTGCTTGTTTTTTTACCTGTAACAGTGTAAGTATTATAAGGCTTATAGTCTTAAAGATAAAAGTTTTAAGAATTTTAATATTTCTGTAATGAATACAAGAATGAACTTCAGCAATTTTGTTAGTTTGGATATTTAGATTATTGTGTCGCCTCTACGGAGTAGTGGCGACATATAGGGATCACTTCTCCGTCGTCCTGTCTGTCCGTCACAAAACTTGTCCGGACTACTCCTCATAAACTACTGGTGCAATTTCATCCAAACTTTACAGGAATGATCAGTACCAAGTCTAGTTGTGCATATTGTCAGCATTTTCCGGTTCAATGATTTTTGTCAGAGTTATGGCCCTTTAATAATTTTTATTTTTAAAGTTTGTCCGGACTACTTCTCTTATACCACTAATGCAATTTCAATGAAACTTTACAGGATTGATCTGTAGCTCAAGTCCTTGCGCATATTGCACGGGTTTTCCGGTTGAATGATTTTTGGCCGAGTTATGGCCCTTTGATAAAAAGGTGTTTTTTTCTGTGTGTTGCCAGATACACAAAAGCTTGTCCCCACTACTCCTCATAAACTACTGGTGCAATTTCATCCAAACTTTACAGGAATGATCAGTACCAAGTCTAGTTGTGCACTGTCCGTCTGTCTGTCTGTCTGTCACAAAACTTGTCCCAACATGAAATTGGCCATTATGAGGCGACACATGTGATCACTGATCGCTCTTGTTTTTTTCAGGATTAGGAAATAATAAGCATATTTGCCATTGGGAATGGTTCAGATAATCTGTCACATAGTGAAACTGAGAAAAGGCATGGCCTTTTCTTATATTCAGGATTTTAATATGATAGTACATCTAACTGGTTTTATTTTTTGTACATGTATTGTTGGAAGAAAAAAAAGAAAATTAAGATTTTTTACTAGTATATTTCATAAGTATTACCCGTAACAAGTACTTAGGTAAGTTGAGTGCACTGTCTATAGGACTATTTTGTCTTTCTGAATTAATATGGCTGAATTTTTTACTGACAAAATTGTTGTTACAAAGAAATTACAAGACTTTACTTTTATTAAAATGTGTTGTATAACCATGGTTTGTATTTAACTGGAATGTGAATGAAAGAAAATTTTACTGTGAAGATATCTTCATTTATCAAATTTTGATTTTGTGTTTTTTCTTTTCGCGGCTTTTTTTATTCCTTATTTCTTGACAGATCTGGTTCAATTTCAGCATCAATTTTTCCTGTCATTTGTAAATTTTCTATTGGCAATATTTGTTGTTGATGTTTCTTTCTATGATTAACACAATGTGTTAAACTATAAATAAACAAATGATAAATAGTTTGGTTTTGTTTTGGCTTAATCAGGACTGAATGTTTTGTCCTTTTTGTTTTATATGATGTGTTGTTTGCCGTAAGAAATGATCAGCTGCACAGACTAATAATATCTGTCATATTTTGCGGTTCCGATCAGATTATCCGTCCCGAGGTGACCCACCCATTGGGCGGGTGACCGAGGTCTGCACTTGTTGCATGAGTAAATTCAGTCGCCACCAGCTTGTAAAGGATTCTTCAAGACTTCAAATGCTCCTAGTGACTTTAGAAAAAAATTCCCATTTTTACCAGTTTACCAGTCAATGTGTCTTGAGGCAATTTCCTTCTGAGGAAGCCAAAATGTTATTTCAATCGATCTTTGAGAATTCATTGTGCACATGCAATTTTTCATTAAAGGATGCATTATTTAGAATTTTTTACCTAATTTGCTATTGGAGAGGCCATATGGTTATACTTGCATTATACTCAAAAAAAATCATGCAAAAAAAGGATCCTGCTTTTTGTCTCTAATTTAAGAACATTCCTATAATGAATACCAGAGACAAAAACTCAGATTCATGAAAATTTCTCAAAAAATATTTAGTCTTGTCGAAATCAGGCACCTTCCAGTCTGCTATAAATGTAATTTCTGCATCGTAAAGGTGACGAAAAATAAATCTGAATATGTTTTTTCAATGGGTTATGGGGGAAAGGAACAGATCCTTAAACATTTGATCTTGAATTTTGAAACAAGTTGCCTATCTGAAATGAATATATATCCTGTCTGTAATATTGTATATGTAGACAGTAGTATAGAGCTTGATTAAGACTGCATTCCTGCATCGGCTTAAAAGATACACTCTTAAATGAATCTGTCGGTTTCCTATTAGTTAACGGCCCCAAATCACACTTTTTAACAAATAAAATAAAAATCTGTCTACAGAAGAGTACAAAAATGTTAGGTACTGTACCAAAATTTCATCACAGATTTTCAGACCTTTTTTATTTTGAATTAATTCAGTACCAGTTAGCAATATTAAGATGTTTTGTTTTTTTTTTTCAAATAAATAACTTCACAACCTTTTCTGTGTCGTCTGCAAAAGTATTGATTTACCTTGAATGTGATCTCAGTTATTATGCATTGACATTCACACTAGAATACCCCAGGTGTTGCTTATTATTAAATGTTGCAAGTTCTCTTATGTAACTTTAAACAACAGGCAAAACTATCTTAACTGCTGTATTGCATAGAAAACAAATGTTTCTCAGATTGATGAATAACAGAAATACTTAATGAAAATGATAAAGGGCCAAAAAACTGCTAGGAAACCAGTCCTGTTCTCTAAAACTTAAGAAATGCCAAAAACATGGATTCCCAACATTGTCTTCACAAAATAAACATTAGATCAATGTAGCAATATCCTTCAATAGGTTCATGAGTTTGGATTCAGCCAGAAATTAAATTGCTTAATTTTGAATCTTTGACCTTGAATTCAGTTTGTTTGTTCTGTTTAAGTCACACCGACTTTGTGTAGGTTATACAACGCCTAATTTCCAGCCTTACTGGTGGAGGAAAACATCAGGTGCCCCTTTGTGCTGTATGTCAGGCACAAGCAGGAACCGTGAGTAGCTGGATAGATTCTTCACATAGAAGAAACAGAAGTCCCTAACAGCAGTGAAGGGCCAGTGACCTTAATGTGTGACCTTGACCTTGGGGCATCGACCTGGTTATTATGCTTTGCACTTCCTCTCATAATTATGATCATTTGTGCCAAGGTATTTAAAAACTTTTCATTTGTTGCTGACACGAAATGCTGTCTTTTATACATTTGCCCTTTTATAATGACCTTTATCTTTGGGGAAGCTACCTAGTGGTCGAGTCTGCACATCATCTGACAATCGATGATCTTTTGTGCGAGGTTAATTTAAAAACTTTTCACTAGTTTAAGTTATGCAGCGTACTTGAAATGATGACTTTTACATTTCTCCTTAATTAAGTGTGACCTTGGGGGTAGCAATCTTGTTGCAGTCTGCACATCATCTGGTAATAGTGATCTTTTGTACCAAGTCATTTTAAAACTTTTCATAAATTTATAAATTACAGAGGACACAAAAATGTTACAGATGGACGGGCTAACAGATGGAGGCCATGCATTACCAAACTACATATAGGCGGCAGGTGATTAAAAAACAGGATAAGTCACTTTAGAAATTCAACAGGTTGAGGGTTATGACTATAAGGCATCATCATAGAACAGGCTCCTTTTATTATTATTTATTGGCTTACAAAATCACATACAAAAGACATTAAACAAATATGTGATAAATAGTTAAATACAACATACAAGTGAAAAGTTGTTCAAAAACTACACAACCAAAACTTTGAACTAAAATTGAATAGTCTAAATACATGTATAAACTTGGAATAAAAACATTGGATGTTAATTACAAAACATTGCAAGTATTTATTCAATAGGGAAATTTGCATTTCATGGTCCCTTTAATAAGTTATATTAAGGTACATTGACAATTTTTGTTTGTCTTCAGTGAAAATGTATTTATCTGGCTGAAAAGTGAGACAATATTTACAGAATGAATAGAAGCTGTTGTCATTTACAGTTGTTAAAAGTAATGGCAATGGTAAAAGTGCAACGCACATTTTAAATGTAATACCAGTGAAATAATTTATGCTTTATAAATGAATGCCATTCCAGTCCCTGAATCTACATGTAGCATGTTAAAAAGGCAAGTAAATGCATAATTTTATTAAATAAAGAATAAATAAAAGAACTCACTAAATAATTTGTTACAATGGTAGAGATATTTCAACAAAGCACTTTCACTTTCCTCTCATGTACATGTATCTATATTACTTTTGATGGATGATTAGCAGGATTTCAGTATTTATTCAGATAAAGCCATGTGAAAATAATAAAGGATTTCAGTATTTATTCAGATAAAGCCATGTGAAAATAATAAAGGATTTCAGTATTTATTCAGATAAAGCCATGTGAAAATAATAGAGGATTTCAGTATTTATTCAGATAAAGCCAATGGCCCATGTGAAAATAATAAGTCTTGCAATTTCTAAATCATATTAAATCCTCTGCTTCATATTAATGTGAATTATAAAAACAACAACACTTTTATAAAGATATGGACAATAAATAATGAGCAAAAAGTGATCAATAAACTGGCCTACAAATTATATCTGCACTTGTCTGAATGTCATGCCTTTAGATTTATTTATGTCTACACTTATTATGCCTATAAATTTGTTTATATCTACACTTGTGCACATAGATTTGTTTATGTCTGCACTTGTCGTGACTTTTGTTTGCACTTGTCATGCCTATAAATTTGTTAAAAGTCTGCATTTTCGTGCCTATAAATTTGTTTAGGTCTCCAGTTGCCATGCCTATAGATTTGTTTACGGCTATACATAAAGATAATGACAAACTGATAGGAAAGGAAACAAATCTTACAAAAATGCTTATCGGGATAAGAGATCTTAAGTAGATAATGACAGAAAAATGACAAACATTAAACAAATTGTAGTAAATCTGCTTTCTATAATGTTTAACTTCAAGAGGAAGACTGACTGACTGGGATTAATGCCACTGAAAAATTATATATATAATATGATAAATACCTAACAGAATTTAAATTAATGACTTATGTTGAACGATAAATACCTACAGAATTTAAATTAATGACTTATGTTGAAAAAAAGAGACAACTTATATAATACTATTACTAAATAAAACTTGGTCAGTATTCGCCAAAATTTATATGTCCTGATGACTTAGCATGTTCTTGGGCTTCTTTCTGTCCAACAAGAGACTTTTGGCAGACAAGACACCTCAGTGTAAATTTAGCTACGTCTGTATACTGGCGTGACGCTTTAGCTTCATTTGCAATTTCCATAGCTTGACTAAGTACACTTGCATCTTTAGTGGAAAACATGGTTTTGATCTCCTCGCCAGGAATTAATGGCTCCATTATAAGCGGGTCGTAGTGAATACCGTCATAAATTACAAGAACACGCTGCTTATAATTCATATCTTCACCAAATCTATCTATCCTTCCGGACTGAGTGTCAACCACATCAATTTCAACATCGTAATACTTGGACAAAATTGAAATTTCAATTGCTCCTCCCCAAGATTCTTTGTTCATTATCCACTTACAATAATTAGCATTGCCTTTTCCAAGGAAAGCTTCATTATATGTGTCCGGGTCACTCATTACAATGCCAGCAATTAGTTCTCTCATTTGCGGAGCTGCATTTAAATCAACAGTGCCATTGTTCATAACACAATCAACACTAGTAAATAAGCAAGAGTTATCTGCGGGTACTACTTTTCTCATTAACATCCCACCAGAGTTTGTTATTTGGTCCTGAATATCTTTGTCTACTTGCTCTATGCGACGCTTTCTCATTGATGAATCTTCTTCTACAATTAGAGTATCACCAGATCTGAAAGGCAGTGAAGATAATTCATTGCTCTCTACACTCAGATCTATCACTTTTGGTGGATATCCTTGCCTGACTTTGATACAATCTTTTGGAATTTTTGTTGCCTCACAAATCATCTCTTTAAGTTTTCCAACACTTGATGACAATGTCAAGCCAGTCAAATAATGCTGGCCTGATTTAGTCTGACATCGTAAATTTAATGCCATTGTTCTTGTTCCTGTGAAAATAAAATTATACAAATTATCTGACAATGATACATTGCAGTTCAAGGTTGGCAAAGTAATGACTGCCCGGGAAAACCCAGGTGAGAAAACCTGGGGTTTCCCAGGCTGTGCAATACTCCCTTACCTGGGCAATACACAAAAATGGTTTCTTCTATTTTTTAAAAATTTTATTGTCCCAATCATTTCTCTTATTTAAATAAAGTAAAGTTAAGACCATGCATGTTAAAGAAGATTTTACTTTGCAACAATCTTCCGATAAAAAAATTTATAACAGGAGGCTAGTCAAAGATTTTTGTTAAAAATAAAACATACAAAATTATAACAAGCACAAGGTAAACAACTCAATTTTCAGTGTAATCTTTACAAAAATGAGGAATACTGTAAAATCTTTCAAAGAAAAATATAATTAATGTAATTAAAGCTACTTGTGAAAACACTATTGTTGTTTTTGCAAATGCATTTCATCAGAAATGAATATAATAGTACCTAGCAAATTTATTAGCAAAATAGTTTGATCGTCTTCTACATCTGTGAACGTAAAACGTCATCAGAAAGTGTGTTCTCTAGGCTGAAGTTCACTATGAGTTTTCTATTTATTGGTTGAACGCCACAAAATACTTTCCTTCTGTGATTCTATGTATGTGATAGAACGGTCATAGAACATTCCCTGTGAATCACTTATCAGCATTCAACAATTGAAAAAAAAGCTAAAATAATGAAACTTCAACAATTTTATTGAACATTTTATCTTAGTGTCATACACTTGCCAGCGTTCAGAATAAGTACAAGTACTAGCATGGTTGAACCATTTTGCAGGTTTTTCTTTTCTTCTGTCAAACTAGAAATGTGTCTGAAAGACACAGATGTCTCTGCTATATATATTAGGACACAGAATAAATGTATAAAGATGTTTTGACAGGACAGCATAGTTGGTATTTCATAAACAGCTTTCCAATGAAAAAACTTTTCCTGTAAGAGGATGGATACTGCAGCACTGATTTCAAAATCACTTATAAGAATCATACATGACAGAGTTATGGACTGGACATTATTTTCTAACTGCTGACCTTTGACCTCTTAAGGTAACCTTTGAGTAAGGGGTCTTGGTCTATCTCATGACACACTGTTTCATCATGCTACACATTTGTGCCAAGTTATTTCAAAATCCTTGATGCATGACTAAGGAACTTATTGGGTCAAACAAGAATTTTTAACTGCTGAAATTTGACCTCTAAAAATGACTTTCACCTTGAACCTGGGGTTGCAGTCTGCAGCATATGACACTGTTTCATCATGTTACACATTTGTGCCTTGATACATAACGGAGTTATGGGCCAGACAAGATTTTCTAACTTTGACCCCTATTTGTGACCTTGACCTCGGATCTAGGTGTCTTGCACATGACACATTCTGTCTCACATAAATGCAAAGTTATTTCAAAATCCCTTTATGCATGGCAAAGGTTTTTTTTACTGCTGACCTTTGACCTCCAAGTGCGACCTTAATCTCATAGCAAGAGTTACCGTAAATCTTACACATGACACACAACTCATCAAGCATCACACATTTCTAAATTCGAAGAATGTGGCATTTTCTTTTATATGTACATATCTAGATTAATTACATTTCTACAATATGTACTGATCTACAATTCCAGTCTTAGAGGAGACACTTTATCATATATGCGCAGATCTATTATTCCAGTCCTAGATTGGACACATTTATGATCCATATTTTCTCTTATATGTACAGATATAGATAAAGCACACTTGTCTAATAAGGACAGATCTATGATTCAAGTCCTAGATAAAGCATGTTTTCTTTATGGTATATGAACAGATCTGAATAAAGCATATTTGTCTTATATGAAAACAGCCACAGTGCCAGTTCTAGATGAGGTATATAATTCTTATATGTACAGATCTGCAATGCTACTCCTAGATAAGACACATTCCCTCGTGATGATTAAATGGCAATATGACTAGTTATTCTCCATTGGCTGTTATAGATAATTGGCAATCACTTGCTGAAAACCAGGGGCACAAGACATGTAGCTTTTATTTGTCAAATAGGCAATGCTACAGGGCATATATATCTAGGTCATATAGATTTACACAAGATTTAAATAAGTTTTCCTTCATAAGCAATGATCCCCACAACAAGAGCAGGACCAGCACAGGATCTTTATCTAGGTCTTTGTTTATACAAAATTTTTCAGAAGTTTGATTGTGTAGGAAGCTTTATTAAGCATAAAGAGACACTTTAGAATCCATTCCTGTTACCAACCAGTACTGAGCAATGAGTGTAAAGTTTCCTGCTTAAGGAAACAACGGCTTGCCCCGGCACGGTTTGAGCCCGCAAGACTAGGGATCATTAGATTACTAGTCCATGTGTTAATCACTCTGCCATGCCGCTACTATACATCTAGGTCTTGAAGAGTATAAATCACAAGGTTATGCTAAATGCTCTATACATTTAAGATTACAAAAACATTTCTCAAGTTAATTTATTAAAAAAAAAAATGTTAATGTAACAATTGACTCCAGGGGGCCAGGCCAAGTCTTGATTCAAGCTAACTAAACGCATGTTCAAAAGGCAACAATAGATACCAAACAGGTTTGCTTTAGGCCTATTGCTTGGAGATTAGGATATTTTTAAAGTTTGTTTTTTTATTTTTGTGTGACACTATGTTAAATCAAATGAGGTTCTTTTGAGAAACATCATAGGCAAGTTTCAAACAATTTGCCCAGATAGAAACAATAATAAGCTATAAACACAGCAACAAAATCTAAGAATTCTCACAAGGTCTTAGGTGAGCTTAAAAAGTTTTTCTTTATGAAAACCAGAATCATGTATGTATGTATTCTAGTCTTAATGAGGGTCTATCCGCCCTTTCAGACACTTGAGAGTACGTCCCCCAGACATGTCACCATTCATGCCCTAAAAGGTTTTTATCCACCAAAAGGTGACCTATACATTTTTAATTCAGTAATTCACTGAATGATACAAAATATGTATGCAGATTGATTTTTACCAGAATCAGGTAACGATAGCCTGTATTTTGAAATTTCTAGAATAGGATATCTAGAGTAACTTTTAGTTTTTTTTTAAAAATCAGTGGTTCCCACGTTTTTAAATATGACACATACAAATTATTTACAACATGTATAGAAATAGTGCAGTAAGAAATTGCTTCAAGACTGTATTTTTTGTGAATGAAAATAAATGCAATTTTTTAATTTTGTTTACATTTATTCAATAACATAGTAAACATGAAATTTTATTTCCAAACATAATTAACAGCATTGTCCCTAGGATAAACATATTTTCATTATTCTTTATTTCTTTTTTTTATCTTTCTTTTTCTTCTTCTTCTTATGTTTCTCTTTCTTTGTCTCACCAGCAAAACTTTCATCTTCAATTTCTCTAGTTGGAGACTCTGAAATATTCAATAAGTCAAATACATGTATAAATGAATTCATTTACTTTGTTGGTTTCAAATTTACATGTACTGCAGTTCTATGCTTCAACTTCATTTTCATTGAAAGAGTATAATTCTAACTTACAACCCCAAATAAGTCTTCAGACACTAATCTTGGGTAGTTTCATGACAAAATGTTAAGCAATACACATATACATTGAGAAAATACGGATACATTGAATCTAACATTGAATCAGTTTACAGTATATGAACAAATCTATTGCCTGTTATCACAAGAAAGGTTCAAGTTAAAATATAGAGGCTCCCAATAAAGGTACAATTTTTTAAAGTAACACATGCTACCAATTGCAAGACAAGGTACACATTTAATTGAACAGGCTCACAAGTTGGCATAGTGATTGCATTTATAGACGCAAAGGGACAAAGCTATTACAGCCATTATAGACAGGTGACCATTATATCAAGGTTAACATGGATACCATATACATTGATAAAACATGACTATGCTTGTAGTATACATTTTTCCTGTCACATGTTTCACTTTGATATACATGTAACGGATATGACTTGTGTATGATGCAATTGTAATTGTACAAGTTAATTATTTAGTTAGCAAATGTGTAACAGTACGTATCTCAGTTTATATTTATATAAGAAGTCCTCTATCGAATTGGCCAAAAAAAAATTCTTAAAATCACATTTATGGAAACTAAAAATTACATTTACAAAAACTAAAAATCACATTTACAAAAACTTAAAATTACATTTACAGAAACTAAAAATTACAAAATCAAATTTATTACAACTTAAAATTACATTTATGGAAACTAAAAATTACATTTACAGAAACTAAAAATCTTAGTATGACTGTTAAAATAACCAGCTAATACAAATAAATTTGCCCAATTGCTCTATTCCTTTTTCATTGATATATTAGTCACAGATTTTAGCAATAATGATCTGAATTTATCAGCATTTTGATGCTTCCGTCTAGATCCCACAATATTTACATGCCATAATAATTAAATGTTGTACATCTATACCTATCATTTGCATTTGACACAGACTGTTATATTATCAATTACAGTACACTGATCACTGACCACGTTAAAACAGGTCACATTATAAACTGTGTATATATTAAAGAACTTCTTGCAGTAGAACTTAAAACTGACCAATACAGACAGGGTGACTGCTAGACGATTGAGTCAGCACACATGTTTTTGCATTGTAACCCCATTTGTTTCCAAAAATGTATTATGTCACGAGCAATTTTGCACCGTAATGCTGAGTGGAAGGTTGTAAACACCTATTTTCCGTTTGTTTACTTTGGAATAAACCACTAGAATTGATAAAATCCATGATTACAGGCAATGATTAAGAAATTTTGTAAGACAATATGGTCATTTCGATTAAACGGAAAACAATATCGTAAACGTTTATGAATGAAAATCGAAACGAATCCGTTTAAACGTGTAATCGTGGGGGCCTTACTGCTAGTGCAATTTTGACTGTTTTAGGAATAAAGGTTCGATAGAACCGAAACTGGTAGTAAATAAACCAGCTTTGGTGTTAACCTGTTGTACTTCTCCATTTTCCTCTTATAGATAATCAATAACTTGATCTAAACAATGACTGCTATCAAGGTCTTTGTTGCACTTTCACTTTCTGACCCTAAACACTATAAATTCTCCTGGGTTAAGGGCTGTCATCCTACGAAACATTTGGGTCACACCATACTTGAGGATAATTCATGGAAACAAAGTGTGACAGAAGACAGACAGGGTGAACTATGAAGACTGGGGAGAAATAAAATCTGTTATCTTATTTATAACACATAAAAGTAACAAAAATAATTACTTGCGCCAAATGGTACAAATGTAGGTTTCAGATTGTCTGGTACCCGATGTTTCTCTTGGTGTGGAATGACCAGCTCAACAGTGGGCATACAGGGGATCCATTCCAGTACTTGTAATTGCCCACTTAACTGTGACCCTAAATCATATACATAATTTAAGTTTAAGGCATATGTTATATCCTTTCTCACAACTTTACAATCAGAATTGTGCTATGTAATCAAAGTTATACTGTCACAGATGTAGACAAATATTTCATTATGTTCAGCTTGACCTGAATTGTCACAGAAGAAACAAGTATGAATTACAACAACAAATGATAAATTCAGTCATAAATATATATCCCTTGATAAATTACTTGGATTAGAGCAATAAATGTAATATTTATCAAGAAATAAAATAGACAAGAACTGTTGGTAAGACAGCTCTTTAGGTTCGACATTGTCAAGCCTGGATAATGTAGAATTTTCTAAGTTAAAAATGCCCAAAATTCTGTCAAAATCCATATTAGATTTATGAGTTTGACATCCATCATCCATGATGACTGAACAGTTGACATTTGCAGAGATAAGCCTAATGTGTAGTTGAAACCACTTTCTATCACAAGATAGATGTGACCATCAACATTGACATTTTAAAGTAAAATATTGTGAAATGAACAAAGAAAGTAATTTCCACATTAAAAACGGCACTTACAATCCATATAAATTACTATAAAAAGGTAAAAATGTGCAAAAAGAAAAAAACCCTTACTGTGTCACACAGTAGAAATATGGTGATAAAATAGGGCTGTCATTGAATATGATCAATATTCATCATCTGATACATTATACGATATCGATACACACTTTCAATTATCAATGCAAGCTAAAATTTATTCATTTCTGTTAGTGGAATATACCTCTCTATTTTGCCTCATAAAAGAAGTCATTTTTTCCAGTTTTCTTGGCTTACTTGAAATTTAAACTCTGTTTTCAAATGTCAGTGACAAAAATAACAGAAGACACAAACTCTCTGTTAGTCTGTAGTATTTGCAATGTCTAATACAAGCATGCATAACACTATGATCCCAATTTAAAACACATATTTAAATGTTTTTCATTGTATCTACTGCCTAAGTCATATATCATTGATATTTGTCTCTCGATATATGATTACAAAATTTCCCATCAATGACAGCCCTATGATAAATACTGCAAAATCAGTCATAAAATTGGACATAAAATGTAAATTTCTACTTGAATCTTTTTCATTTTCTTAAAATCTTTGTATATTTTCCCAAAGTTTGATTTTCTTGAAATATTTTGATTCATCTGGAGGCATGCAGCTTTAAACACGATTGTCCCTAAAATATTTGTCAACTGATCATTGAACAGCTGTCTAGAAACAAAATTTTAATGGTCTATCATTCAACTGTTTAGTTGCCTAGTCACAATGAGTATGTACAAATCATATCACAACTTTCCCGTCTTACTAGTGGAGAAAGACCTCAGGGCCCTTTCATGCATTATTTCAAGTGCCAGGGGCACCTGAGTAGAGCCATCAACCTTGCGTAAGAAAGTTTGATAGCTTCCTCAAAGAATCAACCAACCAATGACTTTAATACTACATAGATCTGTATTGTACACTCCTTCGAAATAAGGCAGAGAAATATATAAAGTCTGTACAGACATTGTCTCTTTTGGTATGATGTTATTAACATTACTAACCTAGCACAAATTCCTCACTTCCAGATGCTTGTGATGCTGTACTTTTGTAGTTTGACATCTGAAAATAGAAACAAAATTTAGTGCTATATATGTACATCTATATCAAACTATCCCCATCCTGTCAATAAACATAAACAAGTAATCCTAGCATAACAAGCTCATTTATTATGTACATTAAGAGGCCTAGTCCATTAACTGTAACATGGTATGGGTGAAACTATATACAGTGGAACCTGTCTAATCCAAACTCGTCCGGACCAGAAGAAAAGTTTGGATTAGAAAGGTTTCCGGATTAGAAAGGTTTCCGGATTAGAAAGTTCTTTTACATGTTTTTTCATGTTACATGTATTTGCAAAATAGTTTAGGGAAAGAAAACGGGAATGCATTTGAAATCGCAATTTAGATATTTTATTTTTGCAGTCTCTTATCGTTCATTCTAATGCATGTGAATACAAAAATAAAGAAATGAAAATCAATAAATAAGCAAAAATATATTATGTCCTCAAGGATAAGTTAACCTATGATGTAAAACAGGAGGCGAAGACATAATTAAATATTCGTACCAGCATTTGTTTACTCTTATCCGATTCAGCGACTATCCGAATTCACTGACAGTTTCTATTAATTTTCATTGCTTAATCACGTATCATTGAATCCATTACAAAGGATTAAAAGATATTTTTATTGCATTATATCAAAATATTTATTGAAGGTGAAGAAAACAATCAATTAAGCAATTATAGAAGATATGAAGGCCAGCTAAGTGTAATTTTTACACCTTCGTAGATCAAACGTTTCACCCATTAATCAAGTGAAATTACACATCAGTTTGGTGTATGTTTACACCTGCAAGATGTGCAATTATTTGTTATTTTGAATGAAGGTGTGACATTTGGCATAATCTGTTCGGATCCGAGAGGTAAATTTTAGAGTAAAAAAAGAACAAAAATTGAAAAAATCCTCCGGAATTCGGAGTAGACGGGTTCCGGATCCGAAAGGTTTTTTACTATTGAAAATAGAACGAATAAAATCGGGACCGGACACTTCGTTCGGATAAGAAAGGAGTCCGGATTAGAAGGGTTCGGATTAGCAAGGCTCTACTGTACTCAGTTAATGATAAGATACACATTGCTGTACAAAGTTCATGATGTGTTATAGTTTATATGTCTATTTCATAAAACTGCAGGTTCTCTTAACTAGGACTGGCAATCTTAAAAGTTAGTTTATATTTGTATTTTTTAACTGATCTCCATCGGTGGTGAAGTTGGATAACTAGCAGATGCTATGTTTATTGACAATTACCTCCCTTGGTCCACCTTTCTCTACTGTATTATACAACATACATGTATGGTAGGTTAAGTGTTTTACGGGCACCCAAAAGTGGCCTAACAAATTACATATGTACAATAAACCAATGCAGTACATCATTAAAACATTAAAGCATTGTATTTCCTCTTTCATATCAGAAACTACAAGAACTCTGTGTTTTCACTGACTCCATCCACAATTTCACAAATTATAAAACAGCAAAAACCTAGTGTAATCAAAGAAGAATATTAATGATTAAAATGCCACTGGAATCTTTGATCTACATGTAAAAGAAAGACCTTCTTGTTCACCATTATTGTTAACTTACCTTGCTTGTAAATGGTCTTCCAACAACTTCAAACTGTTTCTCCCTCTACAATATAAACACAGTCAATATTACTTCTACCATGCATATTACATGACAATAGCTCTGCATTCAACTTTAATTTTACCAACAATTACTTGTAAACAAGTAATTTATGTTTCAATAACTGTACAATTAAAAATGTTCAAAAATAAATGATTTCAATTAAAGAACGAATATTTCATATTATCCATGCACATTATCATTTACAGTGATATTTTAGTACCATTTTACATATATATATTTTATAACAAGAGCACCACATTGGCTTAAATGCTAGTCACTTAAAAAGCTGCATAACTCCAAAAATACTGGTTTCACTTTCTTTAGAATCGGATTATTTGAACCCATTAATTACTTTTTTTCAAAAATGTCTCTGTCCATTCTAATAGCTGAGATTGGACTGTCAATCTGATTAAAATCAGCTCCTAATTAACGCATGTATCGGAATCTGATGGACAAAAATAGGAGGCCACCTTCTTGTGTCCTTTTAAACAGCCAATCATAGGTGAGCTTTCACAATTTTGAAAGCAATGCAGCTTTTTATTTTTACTGCTGAAAAACCAAAACTGAAAAAGGAATTTTCACAATTTTGAGAACAAACATGGCGTTGTACATATAGCCGGCAGTTAAACTGGCAAAACAATCTTGCCCATTAAATCATTGCCAATTATTATTTCCAATTACTTTTTTTCTAACAAAATTCAACAAATAGTTTTTCTTCCATGGACAGTGATATTTCGATTGATTGCTTGGTTAAAAATAGCTTTCTCTGGAAATCCAAATGACAATTCCAAATGAATATGGAAGAAAAACAAATACAGTCGCAATCAGATCTATATGCAAAAAATAACTTAAGTAGATCTGAACTTAAGTCAGATTGATTGGACTGTAATCATGTAACTACAAGGTTTGCAAATGTCATAGATCATATTAACACCTGCCATTATTTAAAGCCTTTATACACCATAAAACTCTAAAATCACAAAGAAAGTGTAAATAATTTACCTCTGACTTTACATCTGCTATGATACTGGAACCAGTCAAGTTGACTTTCTGTCTATGCAGTGTTGATATATCAAACTGAAAGGTAAACAGAAATAAGTGAACCCATAACCTGCTAGATCTGTGCAATGGATAGTGCCAGCTTTAAATTTGGAACAGTCCATTGAAAGTTTAAGGGATAAAAATATCAAAATACAAAAATTGAGCTACAAATGTAAACTAGAACTATCACTAAATGTGATTAATACCCCCACAAGTCTGCTTCGGAAATGAGGATGTTACTAGTAACAGAATACCTTGTAAAAGAATTGAAACATAGAGTTATGGTTGTGGGCAATTAAAGATAATTGTGGTTCATGTATGTTGCATTTCCTTTCAATGTGGTTGGCCATTGATGAAGTTTAATTGAATTACTCTGTAATAAGTCCAGAAAGACAAAGAAAAAGAACAAAGGGCAATAACTCTATAAATACTGAAGATAGAGTTATAGTTCTTGTGCACTGCACTTCCTCTTATTGTGCTTGACCATTGTATGAAGTTGTTTTGAATTCCAACCAGTACGTTTTAAGTTATGCTTCGGACAAGGAAAAGTATCAAAGGGCAGTAACTCTGTATTTTGTCAAAATGGAGTTATGACTCTTGTGCACTGCACTTTCTTTGAATGTCCTTGACAACTGTATGAAGTTGTACTGAATTCCAAACAGTAGTTTTCAAGTTATGCTCTGGACAAGGAAAAGTAACAAAGGGCAATAACTCTGTAATTAGTCAAGATGGAGTTATGGTTCTTGTGCACTGCACTCTGCACTTCCCTTTATTGTGCTTGACCATTGTATAAAGTAGTTTTGAATTCCAACCAGTAGTTTTCAAGTTATGCTCTGGACAAGGAAAAGTAACAAAGGGCAGTAACTCTGTAATTAGTCAAGATGGAGTTATGGTTCTTATGCACTGCTCTTCCTCTCAATGTGCTTGACCATTGTATGAAGTTATAATGAATTCCAACAATAAGTCTTCAAGTTATGGTCCGGACAAAAAAGAAAGCAATGGAAAAGTAACAAAGGACAATAACTCTGTAATTAGTCAAGATGGAGTTATGGTTCTTGTGCAGTGCACTTCCCCTTATTGTGCTGACCATTGTATGAAGTTGTTTTTGAATTCCAACCAGTAGTTTTAAAGTCATGCTCTGGACAAGGAAAAGAAAAACAAAGGGCAGTAACTCTGTAATAAGTTCAAAATGGAGTTATGGTTCTTGTGCACTGCACTTCTCTCAATGTGCTGGACCATTGACCATGAAGTTATAATTGAATTCCAACAATTAGTTTTTCAAGTTTATGGTCCGGACAAAAGAAAGCAGATGGAAAAGAAATAAAGGGCAATAACTCTGTAATTACTTTTTAGATAGAGTTATGGTTCTTATGCAACTGCACTTACTCTCAATGTGCTTGACCATTGTATGTAGTTATATTGAATTCCAACCATTAGTCTTCAAGTTATGCTCCGGATCAAAAAAAGAAGGCAATTGAAAAGCAAACAAAGGGCAATAAACTCTGTAATTACTTTAGATAGAGTTATGGTTCTTGTGCCACTGCACTTCCCCTTATTGTTTTGACAATTGTAATGAAAGTTTGTTTTGAATTCCAACCAGTAGTTTTCAAGTTATGCCCCGGACAAGGAAAAGAAAAAGGGCAATAACTCTGTAATTAGTCAAGATAGGTTATGGTTCTTGTGCACTGCACTTCCTCTCAATGTGCTTGACCATTGTTATGTAGTTATATTGAATTCCAACCATTAGTTTTTTCAAGTTATGCTCCGGACCAAGGAAAATGCAAACGGACGTCTGAAACCCCGACCCGACCGACCGACCAAACCGACCCGACCACCGGGTGACTCCTATATACCCCCCCAAACTTTGTTTTTGGGGTATAAAGAGAAAATTGGTCAAACTGCATGGATGTACAGACTGGCCTGGTTCTACTCTGATCAAAAGCCAATCACTTTCCGTTCCTATAGGTTCATTGATAAAACAGATTATTTACTGCAAAATGATTATAATATTTATAAATCTGCACATTACATCAACAAAGCAAACTTAAGCAATCTCCCCTTTCTACTTTTATACTAACAACAGCAGGTGGGGTCAAGTGCTGTGTGGCGGCTGTAAAAAGTTGCTCCATTCTTTATTTCAGTGCTGTTACAGTCAAACCTGTGTTAAAAAAAACCACCTCTGATTATAGATCACCCTGTAAATAAAGGCCAATTTCCACCAACAGTTCATTGATTTAATAGAATAGAGTAACCCTCAAATAAAGACCACTTGTCTATAAAGGGCACATTTGGTCTCTCTTCTAGGTGACCTTTATATGTTTCAATTTTGCGTGCATATTTTTCTGGTCCTTCAGGATCATTGATTCAAATACTTTCACTTAACCTGGTGTTAGAGGTTGCGAGAGATGTTGCACATTACATTGCCTCCAATGGACAGACTCAATAAAACCGAGTCTGCAATTGTCAACTATTTGCTATGTTTTCACTGCTCTTAAAGGAATCTCCCCTTTTCCAGGTTTTTAAAAAACAAGTATACTTACATCATCTGGCGCCGATATCAACCAGAGTTGTTTCCCTTGAATATCAGCTTTACTGAGGTAATTTGCGGAAGCATCTATCTCAAAATTGTCCGGTATCTTGTACCTGATATAAATAGATGGAAAACCTATTACTAGAGTATACAAATATTGTCTTTATAAAAATAGAGTGTTTCATGCATATAACTCTGAGTCTGCTGGCCACAACAGATTCTACCCACATCCCAAATGCAATCAGTTGTGACTTTAAATATCCAATGGTGCCGTCTTGATCACAGTCTGCACTGTATATATTTTCAAATTTTCCATAAAAATGAGGAATGTTTTTTATCCAGATTGAAAAAAAAACCCAAGTCAAATTAAACTATTTAGCAAGTTCACAATGGGAAATTATGACCCTAATGATGTTTCATGGTTCACGTGAATACATTATATGGACATAAAACTTTCAACAGGAATTTCAGTGAGAATCACATTGCATTTAAGTAAACATCCATCCTAGAATCATTATACTTATTTTGTTACTTACAAATCATATCATAGATAATTCAAAGAAATCTTTGATGCCAAATTTAGAATTGCCTTAAAAGTTTTCAAAAGCCATCATTCTACAGACTTGCCTCTGTCTTTAGTTATCATCATTAGCTACTATGAATCCAAACCATGCTTAGATTAATTAAGATGTACTTGCACAATAACAAGAGCACCACATGCAGTGTTAGTGCTTGTCTGTAAAGTTAATCCAATTTTGACAAAAATTCAAAGTTAAAAAGGCGCATAACTCCAAAAGTATAGCCCCCTGTCTAAAAACATATTACATCAGACCCAAGCTGGCACTTGTGTAGAACCATCAACCATCTGCAAATAAGCTAGATTGATAGCTTCTTTGTATAAATCGCTGGGTTTAAACTGTCACTTAAAAATCCCATGATGATTTGACATTCACAGAGTAAATGTAAATAATTTCATTGCCTTTAACACTGGTTAAAACAATATTTAGACAATGAATAGATTCATGAATTTTTGCTACTAAGTTATTCATACCTTGATTTTCTACCTTCATTTAATGATGAATTCTCTTTCCTCTTTGGTGTTTTATTTTTAGAAGGACTTGTTTTCCTTGTCTTAGAGTGTTTCTCATGGTCACTGTCACTATCACTAGATCTGCTACTTCTATCAGAGTCTGATCCTCGTTCTTTACTGTCAACTGACCTTGAATCACTTTTTTCCCTCACATATTCTATTGAACTTTGCGACTCCATACTACTTGCACTTTCTCTCCTCCCTTTTGAAGATTCAGAGGTAAGAACACAACTTGTGCTACTCTTCCTCCCTGTTGAAGAGTCATCCTCTGAAGAAGATGATGACTCATCAGAATTCTCAATGATATCATTATTGTTTTGTTTCTTCTGAGATTTTGATGAAGATTTTACACTTGATTTCAACTTCTTTTCACGATCTACATCTCCACTATCGTATCTACAACGTTTTTTAGGGGAAACTGTCTGTTGATTTTTACGAGGTGGTGATTTTATTACATCTGCTTCTGACTCAGAGCTGGAACTTCTAGAGCTAGAATCATTTTCAGAAATACTCCTTTTCTTTGCCAGTTTTTTAGGACTTGAAACTTTCTTGCTCTGTGAGAATTAGAAATTAAGAATAAGAGGATCATTGAAGTTTTAACAAAATAAAATATTTAGCATCATTTTCAATTGCACAAACAATTGCACAAATTATGGTTTTATAAAGTAAGAAAATTCAGGGCACTAGGTTGTAATCTAGGTTGTCTGCTTTTTAAACAGCAGACCATCAAATCTCTATTATTGAAATGTCGTAACTTTATTATAAACAGAGATCAAATCCTGGGAGTTATAACTTATAACCAAAGTAACAGTGTTGCACAATGAACAACCTTCTTAAAATAAAATGTATCAGTGTAAACGGGAAGCTTTGGTCTACAATTTGTCTGCCTTTCAATCCAAGGAAGGTTTTGAGCCTTCCATCAATCATGACCATATTTCCTCATGTAACTCCAATATCGATTAGTCCAGGTGGAGGCCTCGAAAGTGAGTAAAACAGTTTAAGTAAATATTTTGCAATAAGTTTATCTTAGTTTAATTGTGAAGAAACTTATAGACACACTTTCAAATCCATTCCAGGAACCAACCAGTACTGAGCAATGAGTATAAAGTTTCTTGCTGGGAGAAACAACAGTCTGCCCCTAACAGGGTTTCAACCAATGCAGCTAGCTATCCTTAAATTACGAGTCCGATATGTTAGCCACTCAGCCATATGATTGAACTTATGTTGTTAACCTACATCAATACTTTTTTCGACCATTACAACAATAAAGGCAAAGATGTATAGCAAGTGTATTAATATTTCTCTACTTACATGATGAAGCTAAAATATAATATAACAATATAAAGTGAAGTCTCGAGATATTCTCTGAAGAAATAATCTGTTCTAATAAACTTTCACCTGAGATATAAAGAGATCATCATCTGACGACATCATTACAGCATTTGAACTCTCCTTCAGTTTCTTAGTCACAGAATGTGCCAGTCTACGAATATCTGAAGTCACCACTGATGCTAATGATTCTGTGTCACTCACATTTTTGTCTCGTAGGTCAAGCTATATTAGGAAAATAAACAGAATATTAATTCATAAAACATTTTAAAAAACTCTTAGATTGTATCTTATTTTCAAACTTGAAAAAAACGTCTTACCAAACAAAATACTACATGTTTGACCATGACCTGCTGAATATACCATTGACCTGCTGAACTTGTGAAATAAGACTTTTCCAGCTTCCACATCTTGGAACTGTCAATATCAATATTAGGGATTTCAAGATGAAAGTTTTATTAGCAACACTCAGACTGCAGGCTGTCCTGTACAAATACTGGTGACAAAGGCAGTTTCATCTCAATTTGGGTAAATGGTGGTGGTGGTGGTGTTGGTAGTTTTCACTCCAGATTACGGCAGTAAGTCCAATCCACAGTCCAACACTCTTACAAGCAGTATAACAAGACCATTGTAAATATCCCCCATTCATCAGATTTTAAAGTAAATTTCAGGTATCACTTTGGCTGTAAGGAAGTACATTAGGTTTTATTATTGTCTGAACTTATTTTCAAGATGACCTGCAAATTTTCTTAGCCTGCTAGTTTAAACATATGAACATGACTAAGAGTCAGATGAAAACTTGAAACTTCATATCATACTCAAGTCCACTTCCTGAAATTAACTAACCAAAATTATGCAAATGTTGTGTAAGGAAATATAACCCCAACAGAGCTTGAACCTATAAACCCTGAATTGAGAGAAAGGCACATTTACATCAGTTAAAACTTTTGAGCGGTAATTGGCATCAACTGATGTTTACAATGGGCAAATATGATGGCACACAAAGAATAAACATTAAATTACAGTGATTTTTTCCCTGTATTTTTACAGCCGAATAAAGGCTGTTTCCCCTAGCTCAAAATAGGTATATTTTCCCCTAAAAAAGCTAATATTTTCCGCTGAAATGCCCCATGCACTTCTTCACCAGAACAATGTTGTGTAAGGAAATAACCCCAAAAGAGTTTGAACTTATAAACCCTGAATTGAGAGAAAGACACATTAACAAGTTAAAATTTTCGAGCGGTAATTGGCATCAACTGATGTTTGATGGGCAAATATTATGATGGCACACAAAGAATAAACATTAAATTAACCTGCAGTTTACCTCTCAATTTGGGATGCAGTGAGGGTCTGTGAATTCTATAACTGAATTCTATCATTCTAAGATTAGCATAAGACTATTTGCAGTATGGATATTTCTCTACAAACTTCATCTACATGTATGTTGCTAAAAAAATTGCCAATTTCTGAATACTAAATTCCATCATGTTATCAGTAAGTTAGCATTATGTGGAGTCAATATCCGGACAAAGGTGGAGTCAATTGACAGTGGCTGATTGTTAATTATAATATTCACTGACATGTTTGTCCAAATGGCCCTGATGGTATTACCGTAAACAATCTTCTGATTGATCATTTAATTGGTCTTGATAACTTACGATTCTTTGGTTGAAAGCGTCATACTGATTTACAATCAACGGAATTAGTGACATATAGTGTCAGTATTTCCTATATATTTACTAGGTTACTAAACAGTTGAAGTCCCTTGCAAACTGTGTGGCTTTAAAATTGTGATAGTTTTGCTTCAATAAAATCATTTTAAATTTCTTTTCTTTTACAAGACATAAATGATCTCCTTGGCGTTTCCATGACAGTTACTTAATTAGTTAATATCCGGGACAAATTATCCCCAATGTCCAAGACATTATGACTTGTATGTGTCACAGGGTGAGAAAAATGTGCAGCCTGACCGGGACTTGAACAAGGGACCCTTTGAATGCTGTACCGTGGCTCCACCGACTGAGCTATCCAGCCACTAACACATCATCTCCCCTAAATAGTGAACAGTTCTGAACTGTGACATACTCCCCTACTTTATTGAAATTCGTCCCTGAATTTCTCAGGGTTTCAGAGCAGTGCCAATTAAACTCTGAGGCTGAGCTATATGCAGTCACGGTCCCCCGTTGGGCGCAGATTGTCACTAGGTGAAAAAAAAATGTGCAGCTTGACATATGTTTTAATAAAATAGAATCAGTATCAGGGTAACGGTATTATTTTTACCATTTCCAATAAACTATCACCTTTTTAATGTGATTTTGCTTCATATCTGGGGTTCTTAGTGGTGAGAATCTACAAAAGGTAGTCCTAGATGTATCCATTTCTTGCCATGCTTTGATCTGAAATGAAATATTTCCCAACTTTATTCAAATTACTTCACTAATATCAGACTCATTATGTTACATAATTATACAAAATTGCAAAACATTTGTTATTACAGAATATTTATGTCGCGAAAATAGAAGACAAACACAATAAACTACCTTCTTTCATCACTTTGACATGTCATATGTACTTATTTTAAATCTATACTTTATTTCAAAAATATTAAGAGCCTCCAAACTTAAATTGGTTAAATTTTCGTTAATTTTACTCAAAAAATTATATTAGTCGTTTACCCATGCTTCTCATTGAAAATTTACAACGTGCAGATTATACGGAGCACCACACACCGAATTGTCAACAAATTTTGGGAGTAGCCTAGTTTCATTGAATTATACATTTCAATCACGACACAATAGACATGTAAGTTCAGCTTTTACCATATGTCAATTCCATCAAATGAGATATATGTTGGGCTATCGCTGGCAGGAGCCGTTGACAATTATTTTTGCTAAATCAAAATGAATTGTCTCATTGAACTGCACTTCACACACTGTCACCTGGTCACTGTGACTTGGAATTAGTTCTGTATTCTAAATTTAGAAAAGTAGTCAGTCATACTGAGTGGTAAGCAATAATGGCTTGATGAATAATTTGTCCTTTTTAGTTTAATAACTATTTCCTTTTCAGTTGTGACTAAATAGTAATATACATGTATATGGTAACTTAAGACAGAAGTCATATTTAGTCAGCCAAACCTCCATTTACTACTGTATTACCTCCAGCAAGTGCCTTTAGAGATGTATTCAGAAACTAGCTTGAATTGTGAAAATACCTATGGTGCAATGTTGGATATTGTAACACACTTCACAATATTCCCCCATCAAAAAGATAGGGTGATCAACAGATCAAGTGATATATGATTACATGATATATGCACAGGATAAAAAAATGCTTACATGTCATCTGACATCAATAAACTTAATAATGTTGACAAAATTACCCGTATGCTCAATGTAGTTAAACATAATTTTATTAATTGTTTTTTTTACATGTATTTATTGCCAATGGCATGCTATAATGGAATAGATATTAATTTTTCTTGCATTATTATACGTAATTTATCGTTCAAATGCTTTGCAGTTAATCCCACACATTTGAACTTGAACTGTTAATTATTCTACAACATTGCACTCAAAATTGATATCTATTTCCTAATTATATGATGCAGTTTAAGAAATTTTCACATTTTCAGTTTTTCCATGTAAGCAGCAAAAGGTCTTCGGTCACAATTCAAATTAAATTCATTGAGCTGTAAAAGTTTTACACTCATAGAATTTTATCTTTCTGAGATTTCAATTACATGTATTAACAACATGAAATAACAGTTGAAAACATTGAAGTGACTTCAGTTAGCGATACACAGTGAGTAAGTGACACACATTATCAGCGGTATACAACTGTCTGAAAACAGAAGCGCATATGTAAAAATAAATTTTCATTTCTTCTACATATTAATATGAGATGTACCTAATGGCTGTGTCCTAACCAGTAAATTTCTTAAGCATTACAAATTGCTTTGTTTTTAATTCTTAATGTGTTGATAAATTGATTGTTTTAGATTTTAAATGTAGGACATTGTACATGTATGTTACATCTGTATTTTTATTTGATGCTGTTACTGTTATTGAAAAAAACAAAGATTGGGTTGATGATCTCAATATCTTTTGGTGAGATTTGTTTATACTGAAAGAAAAACAAATTTAGAGAATATAAATCCTATTCTTGAATAGATCTATTAAGAAATGAATATCCGCATTGAACAATGTTTTTCATCAAAATTATGTTTCATTATGTATTCTGATATATAATACAAAAATTCAAGCATGAAATAATGCAAACCTGACTAAGACTAGAGTAGAAATGATGGAAAATATTTTAACAAGTTTACCACAGCCAAGTATTTTTAGCTATCCTACTCACCAAGGTATTGGTGTAACACTTTGGTGCAATATGATAATTATCTCATTAACCACTTTTGGTATTTGCTTGCAGCTTTGCACACTTATTTGGGAGGAATTAATAACGATTCGCCACACTAACGATTCGCCACATAATGATTTGCCACAAAGTTATAACGATTCGCCACAGTTAAATAACGATTCGCCACAATATGATTATAACAATGATTTTCTTTAGTAAATCAACAAACTGTTTTCTTTTTTTTTAATAATTTAATAATGTTTCTTAATACAAGTAATATGAAGTTAAGGCCCCCATTGCGGATTTTCAATTTATCAAAGTAACATTATTACATGAGTACATTTGTAGCGTGTATCAAGCTGTTGATTAATTATTCAAGTGCTACAAAATAAAATTATTTTAAACCACAAGATTCTCAAATGTAAATATATAATTTTTCTTGGGATACTTATCCGAAATGATTTGAAATATTTTATATAAATTTTCCTTCTGGTTTCTTAACCTTTTGATTATATATTAACTTAATAAAAACTTTAGAAATTATAAAATGCAAAAATAACAATCTTCAACTAATACTTAAATCATTCAAAATATATATTTCAAGAAACAATAAAACTCTATTTACTCTTACTTTCAAACAAACTAAAATTTACATTCCTAAACCTATCTCCTATTTCTAACTTTTATATTTCAAATCAACAAACTCTTATCATAAAACGTTCAAAAACTGATTCTTCTAATAATGTTTTCAAATAAACTCTTCTCTATCAAACACTTGTCCAAGAGGTTTTACTTAGGCAATAAGGTATTTTTAGCACTAGTATCTAAGATGCCTG